AAAGATGAGTGCTGAGGGTTGGGGGTGCTCCTGACGAAGAGGGAGCAAGAATGTGATAGAAAGCGATAGGGTAGACTGCTGTCAGCCTACAGAAGGATGGATGGTGACTTAATTCAATGTCCTAAGCTGTACTGAGCTCAGGGAGGGCTTGGAGCGAAGTATATGGATGATAGATGATGATAAGCGAAGTAGATGATAGCTAGACCTTTAATAAAGTCTCAACTATCGAAGCTGATGAATGATTTACTGAGAGATGATAAATTGCGAGCAAGAGGGGCTCTCTGATGTCTTTTCTTTTTTTTTTCTATCTAAGTACAGTGATTTATATACAGTACAGGGGTATTGCCCATGGAAAACAAGGTGCAAACACTTGGTAAGTGACTGGTAACTGATGAGTAAGGAATGTAAGCAATGGGTAATCATCTTGGAAAGCATTGGTAAGCATTGGTACGCATAAGTAAGCCAAAAAGCAAAGAATCAGTAAGCAAAGTCAAAAGGTTGGTAAGTATTGGCAATAGGTGAGTCAAAGACAGCCAGAATGTCAAAGTATGAGTCAAGCAATGTCAGGAACCAAGAAAGCGCACTGGAATCACATTAGGGGGAGGCTGTGCACATCACATCTCAAAGAGATCACTTCTAAGCCAAAGTGGGATGACAGAGAGGCAGCACTGATCTGATGCCGATATAGTACATCCAAAAGTGGACAGGGTGAGTCAGATGTCAACAGGGGTCAAGCTTTGGGGGTCTGTGGGGTGACAGGAGCATAGGGGATCACAACTTTCCCCCCCAAACCATCCTCTCAGTGAAGCAAATAAAAAACTTCATGAATGAGGCTCTGTTGGAAGAGAGGATGAAGGGGGAGCATCTTCTGCTGTATCTTGCAACAAGGAGGCAAGATGTGCATCATACTCATCATGGATGCGATCAGGGAGAGTGGAGAACAGTAGATCATACTGTCACTGTCGCAATTTTGGAAGAATGATGGACGAGACTGGTATGAAGACATTGCAGGGGGCAGGGAGGAAGGATCCATATGCTTCTTGGACTGGAGAGACTGAAATGACCACATAAGACCTTTCCAAGTGAATGACAGACCTGAGGCAACCAAAGAACATCCTCCTGGAGGTCATACTGACAAAAAGAACACACTGTCCAAGCTGGATGGGCTGAGAGGGGGCAGATGAGGGTGGGATGTACCAGGACGCTTCAGGACAGAAGCTGGTAGGAACTCCTGGTAGATATATGTAGCCATGGTCCCTAGCAAAGGGGACAAGTGAAATGACTGATGTGGAGGCAGCCATATCAGAAGAATTAGCAAAATGAGCGTCTTGTGGAGGGAGTGCTGTAGAAATGTGTGGAGTGTGCAAATCCTTTCCAATCTTGGAAGGTAGGATCATGTGGCTGAGCACTACAAGCGAGTGTGGGAATGGTTTCGGTGTCTGCAGAATTGCTGGAGATACGTCGAAAACTGGAATGCTGTACATGGGCGCTTAAGAATTTTATTGGCACTTAACTTGCCTCCTCCTTTTTCTTTTGGCATTGACAACTTGTTCTTGTGCAAGGGATGACTGCCGACATTGCTGGCTGTCCTTCTTCACATGAGGGCTATGGTCTTCACCTCCATTCATCAGCTACATCCATGTCCACCTCACCAAACACCTTTGGTGTGTGACACTGCCACTGTCAACTCTTGTATCTAGTCCACTGGGCTGGTTACGAGAACACTGACAAGGAAACCTCTTGGTTGCTTGCAACCGAGCTGGACCACACTTCCAACATAGTCTCTGCTTTCCACAAACACTATCTGCACAAACCTGGCCCATGTCAACCTCTGCCATAGCACTCCACCCACATAACCCTCCTCTGCGGGTCGGCTCTGCCCCTTATCAGACTACCTTAAGTACTTTAGAATTTTCTCCAATTATCTGTTTCACTTCTCAGAATCACAAACAAGGTCATAGGTCTATTTTGTGGTAGTACAAAATATACAAAAAAAAAAGTCTACTCTACTCTTCCATCACTTGCCCTCCACCACCCTCCTGTCCTTCTCCATCTTCTGGCTCTCCTCCAACTTCTTCCTCTTCCTCGTTGTCCCCCTCCGCACCTTCGTCCCTGTCCTCCAGCACCTCCGACTGAGGTTGCTTCCATCCTCCTCCTGTGCACTCGAACTCAGCCATCCTGGCCTCATGCACATCCTCCTCCTGTGCACTCGAACTCAGCCATCCTGGCCTCATGCACATCCTCCCTCCTCCTCATCTCCGCCCATTCTGCCCACTTGCAGTACAGCCCCCACTTGTTGGCTGTCTGCTCCATGGCCTCTGCCATCTGCTCCGCTGCTCTTGCCATCCTCTCAAAGGCTGTCACAGCCTTCTTGTGCTCCTCTGCATACCTCTCTGCAGCCTGCAGCTGCTGCTCCCACTCCTACTCCGCCCACCAGGAAGGGGCCCCTGCTCCTGAGGGTCCCTCGTGTGGTGTCTCTGGCTCCTCCTCATCCACACCACCTACCTCCCACTCGTCATCCACTTCCTCCGTCTCTGTTGCTCTCTCCTTCCCCTTCCCTTGTGACCTTTTCTTCTTCTCCCCTCAGGAACTTCCTGTCCCCGCCCTCTTCCACAAGGGCCCCACCACCACGTCCTCTTTTGTCCAACTACACACCTTTTTCTTGTTTTGGCAGGGCACACAGGCCCTGGTCTTGCCTTGTCCCAGCTCACACTGCCCCACTGTCAAACTCGCTACACAGCAAGTACAGGGGGGCCGCCTGGTTGCAGTGACCACCACAGAGGTCCCAGGGACCCTCTGGGTGGTGTTGACATCATACACCATGCCACATAGTCTAATGAAGGAGGAACTGTGAGTCAGCTCCACCTGACTCGTAGTGCTCCACCACTCACCTTTGTGTGGCCTCATCCCATCTGGCCCATGCCCTCTCCTCAGAGGCCCTCTGCCTCTGCTTTTCTGCCTCCTTCTCTGCCTCCTTCTTCCTCCAGGCCTCCTCTTCCTCCCCTGCTCTCTTCCTCTGCTCTGCCTCCAACCTCTCCTCCTCTGCCTTCTGCCTTTTGGCCTCCTCACACTTGGCCTTGCACTCTGCCTCACACACACACTCTCTCTGCTCAGTCTCCTCTCATCGGTGCACCTTCTCCACAGACTTCTCCCATTCAGTGTCAGTGGAGTCATTGGTAAGGATGACCAGTTCATCATCCACAACTTGGGAGTAGTTGCAGACATGACTGGGGGTTGGCTGGGGGGTTTTGCTCTGGCACTGGGAGGACATGATGATGTGGAGAAAGGATGAAGGTTTGGTACCCTAACACGTGTTTTTAAGCAGTTCTTCAGACTCTGACAGAGCTCTGCTGTGGCTAAAGCCATTGTCCTTGAGGCATCAAGGTGGTTTCAAATGATCGACTTGTGTTGATCTTGCCTCATACATGCAGCCTTCAGGGGTTCAGGCCCTAGGAGGGGGGCACTGTCATGGTCATGCATTCATCCTAGGTCCTCACTCACTCCATACCCCTTTCTGCTGGTCGTTCACTCACTAATGCACCAACTCCACCCAACTTCTGTTGGTTGTGAGCCATTCTCCACTCCAGCTGCTGTCGGAGTTGCACTGCTCCCCTACCAGACCAAGCAGACTGTTCTCTGAGGAGTCATGTGACTACCTTCGGACTCCTCCCTGACAGGTCACAGTCAGGTACTCCACAGCACATGCATGGCATGGTCCAGCACCTGGACTGTTTCCTTTTCTGGATGTTCTATGTTACCCATTCATATGCCCTCCATCTACCCTTCATTCATCGTCTAGGAAGTTTTACTTGAAAATTGCTGGGTCCCCATATGTTAGTTCCAGTGCCAGTTACTGTACCTCCATGGTAGTATAAAAGCATGTATCATACTCCATCATTCCTCAGTACAAATATTGACATAGTTCCTACTCCCTCTGCCTCCATCTTCCACCTATCAGAGTTACCTCCGACTGTCCCTCTGTACTCCCCCTCTGAAATACAAGGGCTGAGATCATGCAAGGGGGTAGCACATGAGCTAAACCCGATGCCCTCACTTTGCTCCACCCTTACCTCAGCAGATTTTGTTCCTGCCAACACTCTGCCAGTCGGAGTTCTACTCTTTCTGTCAGACTTGCTCCCAAACCTCTCCCCAGACCTCAACAAGCGTCAGAGTTGGTCGGAGTAGGCCCAGACTTGACAGAGCAACACAATATATTTCCAATATTTCTGCTTCAAGCTGCAAACTGTGTAAGTGAAAACAGAAAAGAAAGGGGGAGAGGGAGGGGAGAAATGTACACATCAAGATGACTTCAAATTGGACCAGCAAATATACCCAGATTGTCCTGAGCAAGGGCACAGATCTCAACAGACTCATCACCCACTGAAAAAATTACCTTTGCAATCTCCACATATATGTCATTCTTCCCATGGCACAACTGCTTCTTACTTTTACCTTCCTCCCAAGCATCCTGCATAGAATCAGAAAAGAGCTTCTTGCAAGCTGCTTTGTGAGTTTTACACCATTCAATAAGGCAATCAGTTCATGCAGTGTGCACCTTTTCCCACTGAATTCAAATGTTTGGCTGCTTTGCGACTGATCTGGCAGAATGTGATGATGGGAGACTAGGAGAGCCTGGCCTGGTTGCTGGGGCCATTGCTACATTGAGTGAGCAGTGAGAAGTGAGTGGTTCAAAGCTTACAAAACTCAGCCAAAGTTCAATCAGAGTTTCAACCTCTGGGTTCTCAGCCAGAAACTCACCAAAAAATATGTGAGAAACATGCAAACCTCCTCAGACTTTGAGCAGCCCTATTGAGTATGTAAGTCTTACTCGGGTCCCCATCTGCAAAACTATGTGAGCAAGTGAGCAGGTTATACCACTCCCCATTTAGAATTTCTCCATTTAGCTCACTTGTGAATTATGAGAAGTGTATGGCTTATTTATCATGGCCTTATCAAGATCCTAGCACCGATGTCATCTTATCAGTGTTGTCATTGGAGACAAGAACACTGATTATCATGTGTAGTACCAGTCATCATAGATCATTATGAGCTTATGTACACTGGGAGTAGTGTTCTATGAGTTCCCTTCCATGCACCAAAATGCTAGCAGTAAATTCCGAGAAACAGTCTAGTGTAGTAATAGGTCCCTCGCTCCTAAGGTCCTGAATATGTCGAAGGGCATTATTGTAGTGAGGTTCATATACATCTGCCTCAAACTCGGCCTCACAGCCCCTGATGAGGTTTGTGAGCCCCCACCGAATGATGGTGATGGTGAAGGCAATAAGATGATCGAGATTTTCTGTGTCAGGGGGGATGATGGAGGACAGTTTGTGACAAGGCAAGAATACAGCTTCGTGAATGATGGTGCTCACAGCATGGCAGTTGAAGAAGCTGGTCACTGTTTGTCCTGTTGGAAGCTACCAAAAACAATAATCCACCATAAAGTTGCACATGGGGAAAGATGTACCAGAACCTCTTTGTTGACAAAATCCCATCCGACGAGGAGGGGTTCCACACTGGTTCTCCATGTCTCAGTGATCTGAGCCGTATGTGGTGCATTAATGGGCATGCACAAGTTATATGAATCCTTGAGAGTTAATTGAGCGATGGTCTTGAATGTACTGGTGACCTCATGAAGTGTGTGTTTTGCATATCATGGAATGTCTTCATATTTTTCTTTGAATCCAACCAAGTTTCTACTCCATGTCAGTAATGAGTCATTCCTGGTATCTGGTACTCACTGCCTGAGGACCCGAATATGCCTTCTGCAAGACGAATTGCTAAGTCTTCGATATACTTGGAATCAGCAGTCATCCATATTGGTTGCTCCATCATGAAGTATCAACAAAGTTCTTTCTTGGCTTCATCCTTGAAGTACTTCACAATGTAGTCAGGGATACACATAGTTGCAGTTGGCTGGAGATTGACAGGGACTAATGCTGGGGCATTGGCTGCAGGGGGATCGCCAGTAGGGAGGACAGGTAAATGGACATGCTTGGTTGGCTGGGTTGAGTTTTGAACTGGTCATTCCCTATCCAGAACAATGTGAATATGGTCAAATTCCTCACCTCTGGCAACTTCCCCCCACTGGTTTGGCCTGTCCCCTGCCATCGCAATGTGATCAGAAAATACTCTGTCATGTGGCATCCATGACTGTGTGCTGTGGGTGGAAATCACCAGTTCCGGGTGACATGTATTTTCGGTAAGTTGTTCGATCTCATGAGGTGCAAAGATCAATGATGGATCAAACAGAGATGCAGGAGGATAGCTGATATCCATAGATGGCAGGTGATAGATGTTTGCTGATGGGGGATGATATGTGGTATTTATCATGCTAATGTTGTAACAATCAATTCAAGTGTCAAGCTCTGGGGGAACATGGTGGCTGATGTCAAGACCATTGCAACTTCCTTCACCTTGGCCAGTCAATTCCAAGTATCCCTGTGATAGAATGTTTGTTAGTTAGTGAATTGGTGGGTCTATCAAAGCTTACCTCATCTCTGAAAATTGGCCAATCCATGGTGGTGGGAGCAATGGAAGAGGGAAGAAACTGGATTGAGGCACACAAGATATTGTTTGATCATCATATATCAAATGGAGGGTAAATAGTACATTTGAGGCACTACATAGCCACATTTTCGAATGTGTGAACAGCAGAGCTACTGCAAGGCAATCAGCTAATGTTCATAAATAAAATGTGCAGGCCTCACCTTTCATTTCTGAGTCATCAGTTATGTGCTATCTACTGGACCCATAAGGCCATCCTTGCTGTCATTCACACCCAACTCCACATATCTGTCACTGGCATTGCAATCTGATGAGCCATCAAATTCACTTGATGAGTCATGAACATGGCATTGCACTTCCTCTTCAAGTTGATTGAGCTGGGTGTTCATAGTCTGAAATGTCATAATATCCTCATTGTATGCCTCACAGCCAAAGGCTAGGAAGTTCTCCACATTGTCTATTTCTGCTGCATGATCCAGATCCACATCACCTTGTCCATCCCCCAGATACTCCCCATACTTCTTATGGTTGGCTTGATAGATATATTTCATAAAATTGCTGTAGTGCTCAGCTTCCCTGAGCTCCCAGGCTGAGGACAGTGCTCAATAGTGCCTAGTCTCACAGCCTGCATGTTTCATCAAGACTGCCTCTTTTATCACCACATCTGGAAGGTCCTTGATACCATTGCAAAAAAGGAATTTCCCCTGTGATGCAATGAATTAGGATTCCACAATGTTAGAAAGAGCAAGGGAGTAATACATCTCTAGCATCGTTCAGGTGAATAACTCCTGCTCCCCCTCTCAGAGACTTCCTCGCAAAGCAGAGCTCCAAAGCCTCCCCAATGTCTGGCTTGGGATAAGGTGAAAACTTTATGCAAGCAATCTTTGCAGTCTGCAGAACCCTCCCTGTGGTTCTCTCTGGAGCCATAGTGGTGTTGGGAGTGTCCTCAGGGCTGCCAGGTGATGATGGAGCAACACTTGAGGGCAGGGGGGAGGAAAGCTGACTGCTGAGTGGGGCCAGATAAGTGCTGCATGAAAGAGGTGATGAGGGCTGAGTGCTACATGGGGAGGACCCAAGGGGTTTGTGAAAACTGGATCGCATTGATACAGGAGTCATGGGGGGTTCAGCTTGAATCATAAGAGGCAGTACTTCCTCGATCTGCAGCTGGCTCTGGTGGGCAATTGCAGAGGTGCAAGTCAGTCAGAGTTTGAAGGACTTAGCAAAATTTCTACACTCATGAGCCACAGACTGGTCACAGAGTCTGTCTGTCTTTGAGTTACAATGGCAGAGACAGGATACATACTGCCAGAACTGGCTCATATATCAGAAGTTCTGAATCCTGGAAGGTTCATATCAACGATATCAACTCAGTTTCTACTTACAAGAGTTCTAGATATCAGTGTCCAAATGTAGCTTGTGAAGTGTTCTTCAAGACCCATGATATGTTGATCCAGCATATCAGGATGTGTTATCCACTCATTCCATTTCATTCCTCAATAGCACAAGATGCTCATCTAGCTTCATTTGGTCGATCTTTGCACTCAAGGGCTAGGTACCACAAACAATCAGGGTATACTTTCAGGAACAAACCAAATACATTTGAGCAGTTTCACGATGGTCCTTTAAAGCAAGAGCGAGAGATCAATGTGTACTATCCATTTCAGTCTCAGGCAGAATGGTCTTTAGCCAAGTTTCTCATGGAGAACCTCACACAAACTCAGATCAAGAGATTCCTCACTTTGCCCTGGGTACTACCAGTTTTACCTCAATCAAACCATATCTCACTTATTTTCCTTAGTCCCATGATAATCCCCAGCCATCCTTTACTTCAGTAGAAGAATTGCTTGGGTGGATGGATACCCTTCCCTCAGGGCCAAAGTGGCAGAGTACTGTTCTAGAAGTTGAAGGTTACAAAACAACTGATTCTATACAGCTGATTTGGCATGATGCAGAGGAGGTTGCAAGGTCCTTGTCTGGAAACCCTATCTTTGGTGCTGATATGATGTTTGACCCTATTCTGATCACCAATGCTCTTGGATGGGAGTATGGTGAATGGTTCTCAGCATGTGAAGCCCATCACATCCAAGTATGTTCATAGAGCAACACAACTTCACTACAGAAACTAACAATGGTCTTCTGTTAGGATTCCCTTCTGGAGGGTGCCACAATCATACCCATTCTTGCCACATCTGACAAGACTCCTGTGACAAGGATGACCAGAGGACTAGAAATGCATCCCCTCTTAATCAGTATCAGCAATATTCCAGGGAACATCCACATGGCAGCCACCTCACATTCATGGCAATGTGTCATGCTCATGCCAATACCAAAGTTTGATGTCCCTAAGGGAATCCAAACAATCCTGCAAATGCACATCTGGCACAAATGTGTTGATATTGTCACCATGGGCCTGAAACGTGTTGCAGAGATTGGAACCATGATGCTGGACCCCCATGGATACTGACACTATTGTTTCACACCACTAGTGGCATGGACCGCTGACCTCCCTGAACAGCTAATGATCGTATGTGTCTCTAAAAAGTGCTTCCCCTGTCATGGAAGTAACCCATAAGCAGTTCAGTGACAGTCACTCCCATTCATCTTGTACAGGTGATCTCACTCTCCAGTGCATCGAACAAGTCACTCGGGGTACTCACCCATGGAATAATCTGAACCACTTTCAAAGAGAGGCAAAGACAATACAGCTTAGCAGTGTCCACCTTCCATTTTGGAGAAACTGGTTGTTTGCAGACCCCTCCATCTTCCTTCTGCCCAAAATCCTTCATACATGCCACAAGTTTTTCTTCAACCATGTCCTCTCATGGTGTAGAGAGTTACTTGAGGATGACCTCAATGTGCGATTCAAGTGTCACCACAAATGCGTTGTGGTGAGGCACTTTGCAGGTGGTGTTTCACACATCAAGCAAATGATGGGCAGAGAACACCACAACATCCAGTGTACCATTGTTCCCATGATCACTGGTTGTGTACCTCCACAGTTCCTCCATGCCATATGTGCTATTATCAGTTTCATATACCAGGCACAGAGTCCCATACACACAGATCTTTCCATGAAGGAAATGGAATCATCACTGCAGGAGTTCCATGTGCACAAGGATGCCATTATTGAGGCAAATGCCAGAAAGACAAGATCAACTGGTACCAAAAATGACTTCCACATTCTGAAGTTGGAGCTTTTTCACAGCTTTGCAGCAGCAATTCGTAATAATGGTGGACTAATACAATATACTGCAGACATCAGTGAATGCCTTCTTATCACCCACTGCAAGCATCCATTCAAATGTACTAATAAGAATAAAGACTTTGCAGAACAAGTCATCTGATTACTCAATCACAAAGAATCTATGCAGCAGTTTGATGTATACTCGTTGATATGCTTGAGTAACATACCCCTCATCAATGCTGTTTCCATGGAAGAGGAAGAAATCACTGCAACAGATCCAACATTCACATGGGTAGAGCATGTCCTACCTGAGGAGCAATGGCAACTCCATGGTCCCCACCCAGTCCACAATTACTTTGCTGATGGCATTCTTGCCAATCATACTCAAACCGCCCTCCATGTCACATCACATTTGGATGAAACTAATCTGTCACTGAACAACATCACTGAACAATATCAGCTCCCCTACTCTCAAGACCATTATTTAGAATTTCTTCAATCACATTCCCTTGACCTCCAGTTTGACATTTGTACTTTCAATCATATTGCTGTGTGGCATAAGCTCCATGTTCAGCTGCACTCCACATTCCATGATTCTATGATTCTTCCGAGTCAAGTTGTTCAGGCATTGCACCCCTCTCAGGATTTCCTGTATGGATGCTATGACATTGTTTTAATCAGCCCCTCAAATGGCAGTGCATAGCTTTCACATGTGCATTGATCTGTATTAATACATGTACCATGTACAGCTGCCAGTTATGTTGCACAAGTTCACACTATTTTCCAGCCTTGTGCACATCCACGCTCCAAGGTTGAAACCCCTCCATATCTCAACCATCCCCTTGTTTATCTACAGCCCTTCTGTGTCATTGCCACCCTGCAGCAGCAACCTGAGCTTCAGATGTGGACCCTGGAAAGGTGCTTCTCCCATACAGAGGAAGGCAGAGAGATGCGAGAGGGACTGGTTGTGCCCATTACTTGGATCTCACATGCGCCAGAGCTTGTCCCTGTTTTTGGTTCTGAAAAGGTGCCGCCTAGCATATCATCCACTACATCACAAGAGCTTTACCACCATCTTTTCCTCAATCACTTCACAGACAAAGAGATATTCAACACATTCCACAGGGGGGGGCTCATTTTGCTAGTAATTCTGATGGGGTAGCATAGTAGGTACACTATGATGTATTAGAATCCTACAAACCATGATCAGTTTGACTGCATCTGGATAAGATCACTGTCATAATCATAGTAATTGTTATCACTAGTACCATTATCATGTTAGGTAGACGATCTCCGTCCTCCAGACGGACTTTCGACCAATCAGATGCGTTTCTCACATGGAACGTAAGTATCGTAAATGATTAGGCGCCAGTAATCCAAGCGGCCCGCTTGCTCGAACCGCAGATGCCGATACCACCGGTAATACTTTCCTCTTGTCCCGTGCCCGACTAACGGGGGACCAAATTGTCGCTGCAACTACGGAAGCTGCAATGACAAGTGCCACGAACATCTCCTCTCCTACTGAGTTATTTAAGGAAAGGGCTGCAGACGATGAGAGCGGGGTCCATGTGGAGAGCTCAGCGGGTCGGCGCACTGCTACATTGTGGAGGCGCCTGACCAATACAGGCCCCGCCAATGACACGAAACGAGCGATGCAGAGTAGGCATCTAATGATGCTGGGTGCGTATGTCTTCTCAATCAAGTCGTTCGTACTCTTCGAGCACTACGCTTCCATCTGACAAAGTGGAAGTCAGCCATCGGAGGGACTATCGGTACAGGTATATTCCTGAGCGCTGGGTCGGTGAGTGAAAGCCGCCATCTCCGCGATTTTCATTCGAGACTCACAGCAGCTATGTCAAGGCTATCGCGCTTGCAGGTCCAGGGAGTGCCCTGCTTTCATACGTGGTGGTCGGTCTCTTTGTTTACACTGTCGTCATCTCTCTGTATGTCTCCCACTCTGTCACTTAGGAAGAAGGAAGGTCTTCATGTTTCTCTCCAGCGGTGAGATGGCAGCGATGTACCCGGTTTCTGGTGCCTTTTCGGTTTTTGGCAGTAGATTTGTCTCTCCTGCTCTTGGATTTACTCTCGGTAAGACTGCTTTTTTCATCGACGTTATCCAATATTTAACTACATGCGAATCAGGCTGGAATTACTGGTTTCAGTGGTTCGTGGCCTCTCTTTTTTCCTGCATGTAGTAGAAATCCCATGACGTTTGGCCTTTTCTTCCTCTTCGATGCATGACAGGGCATTGTCTATACGTGGGTACATTGCCACTACTCACATCACCTCAGTGATGCAACTACGGGTCACTTGACTTAATAGCGAGCGAATTGACTGCTGCCGCCATTATCTTGGAGGTAAGCAAGTTGATCCGGTTTTCGGTTTTCCGAGACCGAATTTGCATGAAATGTGACCAATACTAACGACACGATGAGTTCTGTAGTTTTGGGCGCCTCAAATTCAGCCCTGGCAGTGGGCACTGATAATCATTGTTCCTATATTTCCGTTGCAACTGATCCACGTCCGTGTTTATGGTGAGGTCCAGTGATAGCCACCCAAGGAAGGCGGAATTAATATGCAACTAGGGGAATCTGAGTACTGGTTCGCTCTGATCAAAGTTTTGATGATCGTGATTTTCATCCTCGTCGGTCTGATCTATGACTGGGGTGGAATTAACGGTCATCCAGGTCCCGTGAATACTGTTTCTTTTCTTCTAGCGAGGCAAGGTAGAAGTCTGACCAGACCTTGTAGGGCCTCTCGAACTTCCACAACTCTCAGGCCTTCGTCGGGGGGTTTTCGAACTTTGCCCAGACATTTGTGTACGCATTTTATTCGTTCGGTGGTGTAGAATTGGTCGCTGTTGCCGCTGGCGAGTCCGATCGACCCTATAAGTCCGTCCCGCGTGCCATCAAGGCAACGTTCTTTCGAATCGTGCTGTTTTATATCCTGGCTATTCTGACTATCGGGCTCTGCATCAACTGGAAGGATCCTACTCTTCTAACATCTGCTTACAGTACGATGCTTTCTAAGTTTCTTCAGACAGTTATGGTCCTCACCTCATCTTTGATCAGACTCCGACGTTACGGCGTCTCCAATCACCGTCGTGTTTCAACGCGCAGGCTTCGGCGCTGCAGTTCATATCGTCAATGCCGTACTCCTCACTGCAGTTCTCTCTGCGACGAACTCTGCATTCTACGGGAGTTCCCGCATGCTACTCTCACTGGCCAGGTCGGGCCAAGCACCCAAGGTTTTCGGTTGGGTGAGCAAACGAGGTGTTCCTATACCTGCATTGCTGTAAGTCGTGTATACTATAAGGCGCGGGTCTCTTACGCCATAAATCAAGGATTTCGCTTGGTGTAGCCTGTCTAACATTTTTAACGACTATATGGGGAGAGGGCGTGGTGTTTACTTGGTTGCTGAACTTGACGGGTATATCCGCACTATTAGTGTGGGGTTCAATCGGTGTCATCTCGTTGCGTTTCCGCGCAGCGTACCACGCACAAGGACGCTCATTGGCTGACTTGCCCTACGTCCAACCTCTCTTCCCGGTTCTCCCTGTTGGTGTGGTCCTCCTTGCAGTTCTGATGTTCATTGCGGAAGGGTATGCTGCTGTGAAAGAACAGCCGTTCAGTCCTAGGGTGAGTTACTTATCATGAATTACCTCGTGGCGGAGGTTGTCGCTAACCCTTGCGAATTATCTGCAGAACGTGGTCGCGGCGTACATCGGCGTTGCACTTTATCTTGTTCTGTATGTCGGATACATCGTATACGAACGGTTCATACTCGGAAAACGCGAGCACATCATTCCTCTCTTGAAAGTCGACCTGGACACGGATGCGGTGTGGCAACGGGGGGAGGGTTTGCAAGTTCGCCAACGTGATATGCTGGAGCGGAAGGCACGGGAGGAGGATAAGAGTGAACGGCCACGATGGAAGGTCTGGTTGGTGAGTGCGGGAAGGTACATCTATTGATTTTATGCGACGGAAGGCTTATTTTAGAGAATCCCCATGACACACATATACACTTGCTTGTTCATTGTGCTGATTACGCTGATCGATTGATATGGCGCTCCATTTGGGAAAAAAAAAAAGTGCACAACTGTTGCGTGCTACACACAAGGCAGTGGTCAATTCCCAGGACAGTCCTAAACGGTGTACCGAACAATCCAGGAGAGAACCTGATGCATATGAGTAAACGTGAGATCAGATGATCTATGTTGTATTCCTGGCCACAGGGAAAGTTTAATGAACTTGGCCCCTCAGGATTAGTCAACTGCAAGAATGGGTTCCAGGCCTTCTCGATGTTGACAAGTTATCCCCCTGTGGTCTGATGTCGAATAGAAGTCCACTCGAATGAGGCAATTAGCTGTGTGGTATTTCGCCAGCTCGCTATGGAGAATAACAGGACGTTGACCAACGACCTGCATCCGTCTGGCAGAGTTGACGCCGTCGGGTCCCAAAATCCCCATACCTAATCTTTCCACTGGTGAACACATCACTGTCAGCATGCCCGACAGTATCAAAGCAGATACCGAGGTCGTTACCTTCTTAGCTCTCAGCGGCATCAGGAGTAACTGCTACGTTAGCATTCCCCTGATCCTTGACAGGCCGAATAGAAGCCCACCCAAATCAAGCACGGCATTGCGTCAACTCGAAGACTTCTCACCTAGCCGTGATGTGCTTTGCGTCGTGTCGTGCGGAATAAAAGGGCGCTGACCAGAGGCAATCATCTATCTCCCAGAGTTGAGACTGTTGGGTCCCCAATTCCCCACACCTAATCTTGCGAGCAAACGCATCACTGTCAGCATGCCCAGCAATATCAAAGCAGATTTCGAGGTCATCATCTCCTCAGCTCTCCCAGGCGACCCCTACGTCGGCATTTCCTTGCTCCTACCTACTATCCTACCAGTCAACTTGATTGAAAGGGCTCCCGGTGTCCGGCCCCCAGTGGTAGGTATCGTCGTCCCTCCTCCCCCCACGTGCATGATGAATGCTAATACTTCATCATCTAACGCTCCTGCTTGCTGCAGTTCGTCTTCCGGCGAGTCGAAGGTGATATATACACACTCAGCATCAACGGAATGCAAGTCATCGAGCTGGAAAGGAGGTTGTTTGCGGCGCTGGAGAGACCCGCTCAAGAGTGGGTGATTAAATACAGACAATTTCACGATGCCTATACGTACGTCGCATTCACTCCTTTTGTTCTGGTCCACTGGATTCTGACAACTTCATATAACTTGTCGTGGGTCCATGTGGATGGATGGATGGACAGGATCACCAAGAGACTTGATAGCCGGGAAGAAATTGGATGGATCGCTCCGGTCAAAGGCGAAAGCAAGCAGGTAACTTTGGGACATCGATTATGAAGATATCCTAGAGGACTGAGACATGCTGGTCTTTCAGATCCACATCGGTCCCCTCGGGCAGATCGATACAGCCCCACCTGGTTACCCTCCCCGGGAGCTATTCAACTTCCAATTTCTTGACCATGAGTTGTGAACGGGGAAACGGCAAGTGAATGATTAGCATGCTTTTTCAGTGTAAGAAAGCATCGAGTGTTGTGTAAATTGTTGTCGATGTCGATGATACTTCAAAGAATCCCCCGCTGTTATCAAGTGAGTTGAGTGAGTCAGACAGTGGTTCCGATCCCAAGGAGATGTCAGGAAGTGAGTTTCAGCTCTGGCAGCAATGCTGGGATAGGAGCTTCAAGTGTAGTATATGTACGAAATTGGAACAGGCATGCTGGTTGACGAAAACCACGAAAACGGTGTCGAGGACCTCCGAGTATTGTATTATGCTCTCTGTCCGCTGTAACAATAGGTGATCGAGTAAACGATTATACGGGTCTATTTGCGGAGATGAAACGATGGGACAACGGACCACTTGGGCCGCCGAGGGCTGGCGACAGAGAGGGTTCGAACTTATTATTGGGGAATAGATCTACACAAGCTTGCTAAAGTGAGTAGAGGAAATCAACGCCATTCTTTCCAGCTGAACCTTGTCACATTTCAGTGTCATCCCACATAACGCACAAACCTTCCGAATGTAAGCTCCATTCACCGCAACCTTTCATATAAACGAGTCGGGTATCTTGCCTCGCATCTGTATTCGCACCTGTCACGATATCCAAGGATTCTTTACTGAAATCACCTAATCATTGCGCGAGCGGTGGTCGTATCGCCTATATCCACCCCGAAACTGTGAGCCTTGAGAAGATGCTAGGCTTGTCCGGGTACCACGTATCGCGTGGTGGTGGTTAGGCTGGCATTAATCGTCGCTTCTCGGGAATGCTGTACCGCTTGCCTGGTCCATCAGGATCAGCGGCCTCGGGTGCGACACTGCATCGCCTGGTAGAGCCTGGACCGCGCGTGGGTGTATGGTGGGGTGTTACCGCAGCTATGCTCCGCCGTCGCTCATCCCGTATAGATTGGGAGGGGCTTGTTGGCCGGTCGGATTCACGCGAGATCGACAGAGCAGAGTACGCCAGCTCAGCAGGTATTGGTGACGTCGGGTGAGGATAAGTCCTGGAGCGCCGATCTCTTCCTCTCTCTCGTTCATGTGCTGGCGGCAAGTACTGGTTCTTCGTGCTCTCCTTTTCTCTCTCTTTCCCGGTCGACAGGCTGCGACAACGCAGACGTGTACAGAGTATATCACTGAGGAGCCACACAAATTCTGTGGAGAGGGACCGCATACGATCTTCTGCTCGAGGTGTCGTTGAAGAGTATCCAAAGTGCACCTCTGCGTATAGTGATGATCAATGGCCCTCCAGTATTAAAATATCACGGATCTAGTGCCAGGACCAGACCCTCGCGGGCACCGCCGCTATACCCCTCAGCCACTCTGACCGGGAGGCCGAAAGACCTCTCATTGGCAGAAGGTGTGCGGTGAAAAAATCTGGGCCTACTTTTGAGTATTACGACCTTCGGTACATGAAGGCAGATCGCTTGTTTCTTCCCGACACGGACATCCGCCAAGCATAACAATGATAATGAGAGGTACACCATGATACTCATTTTGGAAAGATGGCCTAGTACCACAGCAGGCTCACCTATTGTATCTAACTTTAGCTTCCTCTTCGTGTTTATCTGTTAAGCAGCCTATTCAGATGAACGTCAGCCTCAGTGCATGCTCAGCATTGTAATACGCGGTCAAGTGCTTGAGTCCATATGCAACGCCCGTTCCGACTTGCGTCGATGAATGGTAAGCGACACAACGCGGTAGTCAGTATTTAAACAGACCTTAAATGTGGTGCGAAACTTGAAATATACTGACCTTGTCCAAGACTGAGTGCAGAGAGGATAACGGACAACATCGTGTTCTTCTATGCAACATGAACACAATGTGGGAGCAAAAGTACAAACGAACGAGCACTGATATTTGATGGGAAGGCATTTCCGTCTTGTAAGGCGTGAGGGCAGGCGTCTAGCAGGGACACGTCGGCAATACGCCAGTGAGCTGGAGGTGGAACCGACAATAGTTGAGAGAAAATCTAGCACGAATATCCGAATGGAAACGAGACGCACGGTTGAGAAATGCTTGACGAACCTGGGCGGATAGCTGCTGATGGTTGGCATGAGCTCGAGGGTCACCCGCTGAACTCAGGATCGAGGCTCGTCTCCTGTTCTTGGTTGCGTACAGGTCTGCACAATCTGTGGAAAGCGCAATAACAGTGCTCGATCGTCGCGGTTTCTCATCCTGCGGTGGGATGTTGGTCTTCGCAACGTTGACCTTCTGTGGTTTATGTAACGGCTCCCTCTCTCTGCTGCAACATCGTGAAGCGGGTTACGAAGATGGATAAAGCTGAAGATTCCCCCCCTTCCCTTCATCCTCCATTGAGGAAGAGTTTCCCCACTCTACAGATGACCATAATTCCAAGTATGATGGCAAACAATATCATCTGTGCAAACGCATCATGATCTTTTGACCGAAATTACGAAGATTGTTCAAGACTTCAACTTGCAGAATCTCTCAGCAACACCAGACCTCTACGCCGTCTACTCGCAACTTGCGGTCACGTCACCGATCTCAATAGTTTTCGTCCTCTATGTCCGCTCTGTAACGCCAAAAATTCTATGCATGTCAACCGAATCCGACAGGCCGAAAAGCTGAAACGCCGCTTCGCTAAAGTTCTCCAATATGTTTGCGGTATCCGGAACCTGATCAAGCATGTAAAGCTTTATTTCTCGGTTGCGTAGAGCATCGTTGAGTCGATGCTATTCAGGGCACTGGCGAGACTACACTTGATCTGGACGATGATTACTTGGAGGCCATGTTACGGGCACTCGAAGGCAAATGGTGTCTCAGAGGACACTTCAGCCACTTCCAATAACAGCCCATTGGATGTAGCCAACGGATTCGTTTATACTGCGCTTTGTGGATCCAGGCGCACAATAAAAAATTCGGCATGAGACGGCTGACATCTGGCAAGCCTTGCGCCGCTTGGGCTTTGCCTGGTTGCTCGTACGCACATGCTCGGAAGAAGCGCCAGAAGAGTAGGATTGATGCAGTTGTCCTGAAGGGAGGTGAGACGCGCTTGATTCGCACTCTTTTATACACCGTTTCCAAATGAACGTCGGTCGAATGGGTTGGGGTGGCAGCAGCGGCGTTAGATCTATTGGAGTTCAAGTGCGGTACCAAATTCTCCCTGTCACGGAAGGTGTCCCTTGATTTTTGGGAAATCCGATGTACGCACTGCAAGCCTTGTCGTATTGTTCGCTGCGCTGACTGTGCACCGATTACGGTATCCAGTTAGAGATCAGAGGACCCTGTCTTGGGAAGCTTGGTAGTCATTGCCCGGCCAGAGTTTGCTAGCTCATCCTGAGGAACGCAGCGATGTTTTCCTCTACCAGATTCCCTGGGTTGGTCAGGCCATGAGGTTTCGAGGCTCCCCCCGTCGCTGGTTTGGAAAAGGTGGTACTAAGTGGACTGTCGTTGTAGGTGAGGATCACCAACCACACTTTGAATATCTGTGAGCGACGGCTGGTTGCAAACCAGGGATACCCAGAAATATGATACACTGGAAAAGCTACCTTTAAGACGCTGACGCCTGCTCCTTGGCTCTCTGCAAAGTACCTATCATCTTCAGGTATGCCGCCGACGATCGACACACTCCCTTACCCGCTACACCTACAAAGGACTTCAGCATTCCTGTCTCGTAACCCGCTCGGAAGTCACTGAGAAGCTTGGCGACACTGGCCTCCTTGAGCCCCATTAACCTGCACAGCTCCTGCTTCAGCTTAGCAGAATCATGGGAGTATTGGTTGGATTCTCGCAGTGCCATGTACAAACCGCAGAAGGTTTGAAGACGACCCTTCGTTGAGAGAAGCTCCGGGTGTGTGAAGTATCGGTACGGCGCACCGACGAAGACCACGCGTGGGTGCTCAAGGGAAACTTTCGTTTCTGGGGAAGACAGGTCGAGACCAATGCGAGGAGAGTTGTACACTATTTGCAGGGTCTTCGATGGCGGAACTGGACTCTTTCCACGAGGTCGAAGATACATATAAGTGGATCGTAGGTGTGCAGGGGCGCCGAGAGCCTTAATATCATTGTTCCATACATCAGTGACCAAGTCAGAAATGGACGAAACTCCACTGGCACGAAGAACCTCGTCGACAAGAAGGGAAGGACCGCATATGATCTTCTGCTCAGGGTATCGTCGAAGGGTACGAAAAAGTGCGCCTCCGCGTATAGTGACGATGCGTGACCGTTCAGTATTAAAAGATGATGGGCCTAGTGTGAGGTCCAGGCCCTTGCGAGTACCACCTCTATAGCCCCCAGCCGCTCTGACCTGGAGGCCGGACGACGTCCCATCGGCACGACAAGGGGTGCGATGAAAATACCTGTTCCGACGTTTCTGAGTACACATCACGACCTCCAGGTAAATTTTGCCACTGTTTCACGTTACCATTGGCCGCTTTTCTCCTGCTCGAAGCTTCCATGCGTGAAAGGATCTTCATGACACCCAGACTTTTGCAGATAGAACTCCACCTCGAGAATCTCGCAGTTACTGTAGACGCCATTGCGCACGATGGTAAGGACGTAGTTGCAGAGGAGCTCATGGGCAATCGCGCCAAACCGAGAAGAAATATCCTCCCGTGTGGTGAGTGCAGACAAGTCCAGCAGTGAAGCGAGGGCAGTCGTCGGCATGTGCGCAGTGTTTACTCCGCTATCCTCCAGAGAGTTGGGGCAGATAGCTTGTTTCTTCTCGACACGCACATCTTCCGGCAACACTGTACATGACAATAATAATGAGACGCATGCACGATGTTCGTTTCGGAAAGATTGGGTAGTGCCACAGTAGGCTCACCTGTCATATCTTCTTCTAGCTTCCTCTTCATGCTCATCTTTGAAGTCTGTTCAATTGGGCTCGGCCTCAGTAGGTTTATTTAGGGTGAGGAAACCCCCAGCATGTGTTTTGCGGGCCACTGGAGCACCTCGGCTGCTGAGTTCGAATACCGAGCAGAATGAAGCCTCCGAGACGCGAACACCGTGGCCGTCGTGCATTGTCGAACAATCCGCCACCGAGCGACGACGAGGTGTGTAGTACCTACATTACGCACCTCGAAGGAAATTAAGAACGATAACCCGTTCAAGGTGCATGTAAGCCAGTTTTGTCGTGCTTTGGCCGTGAATGTTTACCGTAGTGCTGTAGATGGTACCCCTCTAAGTATACCAGATGCTCCCAGACAACCTGCCAGGCAGGCAGAATCCATCGTTCAGGGCGACCGATGTCTGGTGCCCCCGTCTTTGTTCGCTGCAGGTCGGCTGCCCTCTCCGAAGCAGGCGGAATCACCAACCATATCTGTACTCGAGCCCCAGCCTATGCTGCATACTTCCCCTCCAACACCCCATCAAGGGAATGCGTAGACGTCCCATTGCCGTCTATACTAAATACTGATTGCACACAAACCAACTGAAGATTCTCTTACTACTAGTTCTCAGCATGACGACTCCACACCACCCACAAACCCTCTTCTCCAAGTACTCAAACTCTCGAATCCTCAGCCGACATGCCTCCGCATCACATCTCACCTCCGCTCCTTGAACGAGGTGAAATATAGATACGATACCCTCCAACACGCCCTCCACGACTGTTCTTTGGCTCTCAAACATCTCAAGTGCACACTCACCTCCTCAACACCTTCCTCCTTTTCATCATCCCGGCGTACTCATGAACGTCCAGTCACCGCGTTCGCCTGTGTAGTCGACTACACGGAAGATGCATGTATCAGATTAGAAATCCAAATCATCGATGTATGGCTAATTGCAAAGGTTTGGAGATGGTGTTATCCGTCCGGGTTGATAGACAGCGACTAGTGTGGCGAGATGGAGACGGATGATGCGGTTCGGAAAGCAGTAGCGAGCTTCGGAAGGAAGTTGGGAGGATGTTGCAACAGGGTCTTGAGGTTCTTAAACGTGCCATGCATGATGTCCCACCTTTTACAGATACTCACGAGTCTAGAGACATGGCGCTGAAGATAATGCGAAAGGAGGATGGAGTTCTTGGACTGCTGGTCTACTAGATGCATCTCTCAGTCCACCTAGTTCAAACCAGCGCGCTCCGACGTTTGGATCCGTCACGATCTCACCCCGTCTACAACACGCCAGTTTGTTAAAGCAATTGGCGAGACCTCATCAGAGACGAAAGATCCTCTTTTGCCAGCTCCGGACTTTAGAATCCCGATGCAACACCCCAACCGTCCTATGCTTATTGCTACCCTTACGCCAAGTTACGGCGGACTAAGTTTAGGCGAGCCACCACCCAGGCATCTTACGTTATCATACGACGACTATGAGCATTGGCGGTAGGATCGGCGGGATAGGAGGGCCGTCCCCCTCGCTCGAAAGTAAGCAAACTACTCCGACGATGTCTCGCTTTGCGTCGTCGTCCCCACTTTCTGCTCACATGTGGGGAGACACTGAAGCTGTCAGCCCCCACTCTTTGGAACAAAGCGGAGCGAACACTGCGCACGTACCAAAGACCGTTCTCGCTTCACTGCTGAACTTGTCTTGTCTGCGCTCACCACACCGGAGGATATTTCTCAGTTTGAGGGCGATTGCCCGCGAACTCCTCTGTAACTACAACTTTACCATTGCGCACGATAGCGTCTACAGCGACTACGAGATTCTCGAGTTGGAGCTTTACCTGCAAAAGTCTGGGTGTCATGAGGATCTCTTTACACTTGGAAACTTCGAGCATGAACAACGTGACCAATAATACGGTCGGAACAGGCACATCAGCAGAGACCATCATCGCCGGCTTCCTTAACCCCAACCGTCCCGAAGTCACCGGTGGCACCTATCTTAGACCCTGGCCACATGTTCAATAGGTTGCCGGATGGACAACTTGATACCCGTCACACGAGATCGATCGGTAGTAATGCTGGCGACGGACCTGTGATTCCACAGAATTTACCTGCGGCTCCTCAGTGATATTCCTTGTGCACGTTTGCGTTGTTGCAGCCTGTCGACCGAGAAAGAGAGTGAAATGGAGAGCACAAGGAACCAGTATGCACCGCCGGAACACGGACGTGAGAGAAAGGGATCGGCGCTCCAGGACTTATTCTTCGCTGACGTCGCCAACACATGCTGGGTTGGCATACCCAACTCCGCCGGTCTCGTGCACATCTGCCTGGCCAGCGGATTCCTCCTAATCTACACTGGATGAACGGCGACGGAGCGCAGCTGGGATGACACCCCGCCACACACCCCGAGGCCGGAGCCCCTGGTGGACCTAGCAAGCGATACAGTATTTCCGGCGAAGCGACGAACAATGCTAGCTCAACCACCATTACACGACACGCCGTACCGGAACAAACATCCTCGTAAGGCTCGCAGTCTCAGGGTGGATATGCGTGATACGACATGCGCTTGTACAGTGATTCGGCAAATGTTAGTAGAGAATCCTTGGATATGGTGACAGGTGCGAATACGGTTACGAATGCGAGGCGGGGAGGAAGGATACCCGGCTCCCCGACTGAGTGTAGATTCCACTCGGAGTTGTATTCGGGATGACGTTGGAATGTGTCAGGCGCCCAGACGGATAGTTCAGCTGGAAAAGAATGGGGTTGTTTTTACGTGGTCTCCTTAGCAAGCTCGTGTAGATCTATACCAGAACTTTAAGTAACCGGAGCGTACTCCGCCAGCCCAAGTTGTCTATTGCTCCACCTGTCATCTCCAAAAAACATCCTGTAAAATGTTTGCTCAACCACTTATTGTTGCAATAGGCGGAGAGCATAAAACAAGAGCCCGGAGACCCTCGACACCATTTTCGTGGTTGTCGTCAAGACTACTTCACTGCATTTTGCATTTGCATTCGGTAGAGATGCTACACCTGAATAGCATCCTGATGACGCTTGGCAACCAGAGCTTTCATTTCCTCTGACATCATGTACTCACATTCCAAACCCCAATCACTGTCCGAATCACTCGACTCACATTCTTCTGATAACAGCGATTGAAGGGCGCGAGTAAGGCGCTCCTCGATTCCTTCCACGACAGCTTCATCAACAACACTCCTCCCTCCTTTTTCCAAAGCGTGTGCGAATGAACAACCTGGCAAAGCCCAAGTGGCACAAGGCTTGCCATTGGACGCAGATGCCAACCAATTTGTCCCGAATTCCTGATTGTACGCCCGGATCCACAAAGTGCAGCATAAGCAAGTCTGTTCGCTACATCCGATAGGCTTTTGCTGGTAATGATCCGAAGCATCGACCGGGTTACTGAGATAAAGCAGGATGCGAACTTCCGCGTGTAGCCGAATCGTGATGGAACGACTCCTGCGCCACATCTCCCCCATGTTTGGGGACTCTCTGCACAACTTGGCTAAAGTTTCCTCTGAGACGTCACTGCAACCAAGTGCCCGTGATACGGGCTTCACGTAGCCGTCGTCTAGATTAAGCATGGTCTCGCCAATGCCTTGAAAAGCATCGACCCAACGATGCTCAATGCCATTCGGGAAATGGAGTTTTGCATGCTTGATCAGCTTGTCGACACCAAGAGTACACTGAAGCACCTCAGCGAGATGGCGTTTCAGCGGCCCCGTTTGCAAGCTCCAGTCGAGATTCATGGAACCGGGGAAGTCAGTGAGCCGACGTAGAAAACGGGAACTATTGAACGTGGCAGCGGTGACCACAAGTCGTGCGAAGACGACATAGAGGTTTGGCGTCGCTGAGAGATTTTGCAAGTTGAATTTTTGAACGAGCTTCATGATATCCGTCAGAAGATCACGAAGCACTGTTTGTAGAGATGGGAGTAGATAGCCACCATACTTGATGTTGCGGTAAGCCGTAGAGTGAGGAAACTCTTCCTCGATGGATGCCGAGGGGTAGTAGTCCCTATAGGCTTCGTCGAGGACATACGAGAATCCGAACACGGCTCTACCCATCATCTCGATCCGCTTCGCGACATTCTCCGCGCAACGAGAAAACAGGAAAGGAAAAACATCGTATGCCTCTGAAGTCTCGGGAGCGACAATTGCCTGGAAGAACTCACGGGCAGCCCGATCGTCTTCATCGGTGACATCCTCATTCTTTGCTAAGACAAGCCTGAGACCATTACGGGTGTCGAATGTTGCAGCGAACACCTCTCCAGGCTTGCCGGTCGTCAATGCAACTGCAATGGTGTCCAGAAGGCGGGCAGTAATTCTGGTCTCGCGGTCCTGCTTCCAGTGCTGTTGGACATCAGGAATCTCGAGGTCTGAGCGTTCAAACTGCTTGAGCAGCTTCAGCTGCTCCGAAAGATGAGCTCAGCGGTCCAAGATCCTGGGGTGGTTCGGTTGCCATGATGAGGATTACACAGCCTGGTGCAAATCTGGTGGCTAGTCAGTTTCGCACTCGCCCCCCGCAGCTTGCAAACAAGCTCATGATGGGGAAATTTATGCTTTACATAAACTCTAAATGTATGTTGCTCCCCCTCTGCCACTCCTCTGCCGCGGGTGGACTGGTTCAACAGTGTCGAGGATGCTGTTCGTTTATGCTCATAACAATAAGTGGTTAAAGAAACAATTGTATGGATCGTTTTTTGGAGATGAGCTGTTGGACAATGAGTTCGAACACGCTCCAGTTACTTAATGTCCGGGTATAGATCTACACAAATCTAGCCAAGTGGACTGGATGGAAGCGACACCAGCTGAACCCCCATCCATCCGAAGGCCTGACACATTCCAACGTCTTCCCAATACATAACGCACTCAAAACCTAGGAATGGAAACTGCACTCATCTCTAATTCACCGCAACCTGTCATATGCACGTGTCGGGGAGCCGGGTATCCTTCCTCCCCGCCCCGCGTTCGTGGCTGTATTCGTACCTGTCACCGTATCCAAGGAGTCTCTGCTAAAATTCGCGGGATCATTGTACAAGCGGGGATCGTATCGCCCATATCCGCCTCGAGACTGTGAGCCTTGAGAAGATGTTTGTCCTGGTACCGCATATCGTGTGGTGGTGGTTGAGCTAGCATTGCTCGTCGCTTCGCCGGGGATGCTGTACCGCTTGCCTGGTCCACCAGGAGCAACGGCCTCAGGTGGGACACTGTATCGCCCAGTAGAGCCTGGACCGGGTGTGGGGGTATGGCGGGGTGTCATCCCAGCTGCGCTCCGCCGTCGCTCGTCCAGTGTAGATTGGGAGGGACTCCCCGGCCCGGCGGATTCGCGCGAAATCGGCGGAGCAGGATATGCCAACCCAGCAGGTGTTGGCGACGTTGGGTAAGAAAAAGTCCTCTGGCGCCGATCCCTTTCTCTTTCACGTTCTGGTGGCGCATAATGGTTCCTAGTGCTCTCCCTTTGTCTCTCTCTTTCCCCAGGTTGCGACGATGCAGATGGTGTCTGAGAGTATCGCTGAGGGGCCGCACGCAAGTTCTGTGGAATCACAGGTCCATCGCCAGCGTTATTGACGTTCGATCTCGTGGGGGCGTAACGGGTAGGAAGCTGTCCACCCGGCAACCCGTTGAACGCCTGACCAGGGTCTAAGATAGGTACTACTGGTGAGTTCGGAACGGTCGGGGCTAAGGAGGCAGGAGACGATGGTCTCCGCTGATGTTCCTGGTACCCCGCAGGCGGGGGAATGGGCAGAGGTATATTGGCGTGGTCAGGACTTAGGAAACCTGACATTTGGTTACGGCCGGCGGTTCCGCGGGACGGTGCATCCGACGAGGGACCCGACTATTGGTTTGGATAGTAATTACAATTTTTTCGAGGAACAACACGTAGCGAAGAGACAAACACGGAAAGAAGCGCCAGTCAAACCAGAAGTGAATCAGCTCGCAGATAGGGCGGATGAAAAGGACTAGGATGTTCTTACCGGGGGTTCAATGTTGATCTCGGGTACGGAACTATCCGAGGATAAACGACGTTGTCCTGCTTCGCTGTAGTAAGGAGACGGGGCCCCCTGAAAATGGGGTTGAACGTTTGGTGGATGCCCTCGCTGATTCATAGGTTGCGGGGTTTGTAAAGGCGAAAGCGGTGCAGGTATTGTCACTTGAGAGGGTCGGTGCCTATTCAATGTACTGCTGGAGGCCTGTGATTGGACCTAAGATGGCACACGACATATCAGCAATCGAAACATTTATAATACAATTCAAACGGTAGATGCGAACATTGGCTCCTTGACGTCTCCATTCTTCGACTGCTGTCGGATCTGAATAGCGAAGCTCGTCAGCGAATTGCTGTTTCAACTTCCGACCGTCTTGTCGCCGCAGTGTTGCCTCGCTATCGACAGCTTCTCGATCACCCCTGTGGGATTGTCCCCCGTTGTGTGATGGACCTGCCCCGGATGGAGTGTAATCCATCGAATAACTGCTAGAAACCTCGTGGATGACATCCAACCCCTGGCTGCGATCACGATCACGATCACGTCTATTTCGCCGCTGAGGGACGGCAGTAGAACCAGGCAACCCTACAAGGTCGCCAAGCTGAGATATAGTGGACGCAGAGAGCTTGGTAGAGGTCATTGAGTCAATAGACGACCGCCGCTGCTGGCGCCGATATGATTCATAGGCAAAATCTCTCCTCTTGATACCCTCATTATCGGGACCCGGTACCATTGTTCGCTGAGATGGCGTTGGAGAGGGAATGTTACGTTGTAGTTCGTGGGGAGGGGGGAGAACAATGCCTGAATCCGGGTTAGCAGTAGGAATATATCCGTCAGGGATGGATGGTGCGCGGGAAAACGACGAGGGAGGACGTGACGGATTGCTCGGAACAGAGGTAACCGAAGGTACAGACGTGACTGCGCCCGGCGGTGGTTCTACCGGTGAGGCAGGAATCACGATAGGTTGGGAAACATGCGGAATGGGCCGCACTATTTCTGGCTCTGGATTGCGACGTCTGCGTGAGCCGCCAGGACGCTGTTCCAATGTGGGGGTCTGAGCTCTATCAAGGTCTGGGGGTGGGTGAACTTCTCTATGCGGAGGTGGGTCGGTTGGCTCGCTTTCCTCCTCGAACTCATCGCGAGCTGCAAGAAGCCTGTCAACTGTGTTGGCAGCAACATCCTCCATCTGGAGGCGGCCATCACCAATACCCACGGCGAGGTCTTCTCTATACCTTATCTTCCGGCCACGACGAATACCTTCCTCGAAACCTAGCCTCCGACCTTCCTCACGGGCAAGGTCGATAAGCCGCTCCTGACGTAAGCGCCGTGCCTTCGAGCGTGCGGATGCTGCAAGCTCCTCGGCTTCATCACGTTGAGCCTCTACGGCACGAACTACTTGCTGCGCACGCAAAATCTCCTCTTGTGCGTTCTCGAACTGTATCTTATACAACCTCAGTTCTTCCTTTGAGCGGGCAGCATCTTGCTGAGCCGAAACCCGCGCATTGTCGATAGACCTGGCCCGCGCGAGTGATGCCTCTAAACGCCTTTGTGCATCTAGCGCACGCTGGGTTTCCTGTTCGAGTCGAGTGAATACAGTGTAGAGGACTTTGCGTGTCTGCCGGCTTTCATATTCCTCATTAATTAAGAGACGAAGAAGCTCGCGCGGAGTCTCAGAAGAATGTACGCGTTCGCGTCGCTTGCGAAACTTTTGACTTGGGCCGCGAACATGCTGCCTTGGTGAGTCATGGTGCTCAGGGAGGGAGAGAAGCGCCGTCCTTGGTGAATCCGACCCAAGGTCAGATTCCGGGGTGTCAGGCTGAGGCCTAGGGGGGAGGGGGTGTTATATCAACTTCAATAAGCGTAAGAGTGAAACTTACATTGGCACTGATGGGCCCGGGTCTTCGCCATGCCACGGGTGGGACATACTCGGCTATCTGAGGAGCGGTGGGTCTGCCGATTAGTAGGGGGGTAAAATAAGCGACAAAACACACTGACCTTCTAAACCAGCGACAATGCAACAGACAAGATGTACAGAAAATACAACCGTAAGGTCTATGGACAGTCGGTGTATCACAACGACAGCACTGGCATGTCGTCCACCCGCCAGCGACGGCGGACACCCTTCAAAGACCAGGGCAAGCGTGACAGAGTCATGTGATCATGGCGGTGCGTGACGTCGATTAGTCATGTCACGCTGTATATCGTATGTCCGCCACACTGAACCTTAAATTTCTCATCAATCCCCCTCCCCATTCCGATCGACAAAGTAAAGCATGAGGTACAGCGTCCCGTTCAACTCAAGCCCGTTACTGACTGAGAACTGGTGTCAGCGGTAAGCTCTCAGTGTCAAGCGTGCGGAGCTCCGTCAAGGAAATCCTGGCGGAAGCCAATGGCGAGAAGAAGCGTAACTTTGTGGAGACAATCGAGCTTCAGATCGGTCTCAAAAACTATGACCCCCAGAGAGACAAGCGTTTCTCTGGCACCGTCAAGTTAGCAAAACTGCAACTTTTGTTTCTAATGTTTCCCTGACCGTATTGCACAGACTCCCCAATGTCCCCCGTCCACGCATGTCCATCTGCATTCTTGCCGATGCCGCTGACATTGACCGTGCAAAGCAAATTGACCTCGAGTACATGTCCGTCGACGACTTGAAGAAGTACGCGTTGGGAAAGTAGCAATGTGATCCACCGCTAACCACAGTCCACCAGACTCAACAAGAACAAGAAACTCGTCAAGAAGCTGGCAAAGAAATACGATGCTTTCTTAGCATCCGAAGCCCTTATCAAGCAGATCCCTCGTCTCCTTGGTCCCGGTCTTTCAAAAGGTACCCATAACCCTTTGTAACTTTGCTAAATATTCTTCATTCACGATTACACCCAGCCGGAAAGTTCCCTACCCCCGTATCTCACTCCGAGGATCTCTCTAACAAGCTTGTCGAAGTCCGTTCCACGATCAAATTCCAACTCAAGAAGGTGCTGTGCTTAGGTGTGGCAGTCGGCCACGTCCAGATGACGGACGACCAAGTGTTGGGCAATGTCATGTTGAGTGCGTGCCAACTCTTATCTTGCCCCCTCACTGCGGCGTTCTCACACCACCCAGGCATTAACTTCTTGGTCTCCCTGCTCAAGAAGAACTGGCAGAACGTCAAGTCGCTCCACATCAAGAGCACGATGGGCAAACCTGTCCGGTTATTCTAAAAAAACAGCATAAGTCTGTGTCGTGTGACGTGTTTGTGGACGGCCTCATCCGATGGTAGACTTGAGGCCGGGAGGAGACCCAGTGGCATCGTAATGCAAAACATGAAGCCCCGCACGCTTGGACCAACGGCTTTTGAGGTGGGGAAGCCGATTGGGAGCTGACACGATGATACCTCGATTTCCGCACCTTCCTCGTCTATCACTCATCGCACAATCCTCATGTAACGGCCCCTTATAATTGTATTCGAAACACATGGTCATGATATGCGAACTCAAACTATTGTTAACTCATTGCTGTGCACTATCACGGAGAGCACATAACCCTCTGACCGTCCCTCTATCACTATCTAACTCGCAACAGTTACCACTGATTCGGATAGTACATACACACCATGTCCGGGGTGTGCCACTCCCACAGGACCTGCCTCCCTGACTGCATGCTGGCGAAGGCAAACCTAATGGAGCTCCCGGGAACTCCGGGATTATAGCACCTCTATCAGTCTTCTCGGCGGAAGATCTACTTCAAAACTGCGTTCTCACAGTCCCCGCTGGCAAGCCATGGGACTCTTCAAGTTCGCTGTGAGTTCGTTCTGCCAAACCCGTACTAAACGATTGGCGTAGCCACCCTCGGCACGGCAGGGGCGAAATGTAGTACCTGTGCGCCAAGTTTAACAGATGTGAGTGCGCCACGTATGTCAGTCCACTCTGATAGGCCCCCGGCCAGCGTGTGGACCTATCTCGCACGTTCAACGTTTCGAATGACGACGGTCAACACGTCTCCGAGCTTCCGCCCGATTACCCGCGCCTAACCCAGTTCCCAAACCTTCTTTGGAATGCCGAGACAGCGCCCCACGGATATACATAGCTTATTGCCCCACCGCCTCTAGCACTGGGATTGCTGTACCAGCTGTAAAAACTTTGTTGCGATCCGCAAACTCTAGAATACTCACCGTGACGCGGGATCCGCCGCCAAACCAATCTGGGCTGGCACGATGATGGTATGAGTCTAGAAATACAGATCTACGTCGTGTGGTCGGAACACATGATGTGGTCTTAGGCCCTGGTTATGTCTGACCGTTCCCATTCTTGTAACCTTCCTCAACACTTTGGCCCTACCAATATCAACATCCTTCGTTACGAACATTCCGGTAGGTTAAATCGTCCCTGTGAAAATAAGCTTGAAGGAGAGAAACAGGGCAGTGAACGGGGCTCGTCTAATCCCGCACTCTCGGATACGACGTACTTAGAGCGGACAAGTTTTTAAGCCATGCACCTACAAAACATCTGGGTTAGGAGAGGGGCGGTGGTTTATGTAAGCTCCGAGTTACCTAAAGCGCTTTGTTCTGTTAATGGAATCCGCTGTCGGTGTCATCACATCATCAATTGATCGTTTTTACTTCCATCTGATCAAAAATCTCTCCATCAGCCACTAAATCAGGAGATCCATACTTTGTCTTTGCCAGCGAGAAAATCAACCGCATGGTCACTGTTGGTAATTACAAGCGACGGAAGCTTTTCAGTCGTTAGTACACACACCATGACTTGGATGGCAAAGAGTTTGAATTTGAACGTACATTACGGTAAGGCCGCATGGGGCAGGAGAAAACCTAACTCGACAAGTATCATTGACATATCCACGGGAAAGAGGGAGGGTGCGATCAGTCTGTATCCCCTCTGGACTCACTTGAATTTTACGGTGCTGCGGGGAGGCGTCGCCGAACCGTAACGGCTGAGTCAGCCCCAAAATACAGGAATAACAGAGGTATCTTAGGACAGGACATAGAAGATAACTAGAAGCCTTCTGGATCAGCCCAGTTCAGCTTGCACTACATTAACTTCATCACGTACAGCTGGAGGTAAGTAAGGGTAAGTATCATCGATGCACCCATCACGTACTTGTAGGTCCAAGTCCACCGGGATCGGAGTCCTCGCGGTTTCGCGTTTGGTGGAGCGCTGGCTTTACTCATTTCGGATCCTCGGGCATGCCCATGTGCCCGGGGCAGAACATTCGCCCCGCGTGCGGTGTTAGCTGGTGTTAGACATCACTAGTGTTAGGTATCGACGATGGGGGCGATGCACGCCCAGCCCTGCGGACTTTTTGAGCTTAACCGCGGCTCGGGTTATGGATGCGCCCCTCGGCTGCTTTGTTCTTGTTTGATTTGAGAACATTCTCAGTGAACTTTCGATATCACTCCGTCCGACGCCATCCATTACTGTACCTTCGTGTCTAATGGCATCAGTACTGCGGGGCGCCAAGCCACTGTCACCAGTTAATCAGCAGAAAGATGATGTACCGCTACCTCTGCGCTCTTCATTCCAGGCCCCAGCTTTTCAATTATTTTATTTTATTTTTTGCAGCTGCAAAACCCAATGCCACCTTAGGCAGCAAACGGACACTCGACGCTCCATTATTACTCCACACCTCACAACATATGGCCCCAAGCTCCAACGTATGATGTATGGATACGGTAAGTACAGTTCTCAGTCTGTCATACATAGTGTCAAGAAACGTGGCGTCGGTCTTGTAAGTGCCACACTGTCGGCCGTCGTTTGCGAGATGGGATAGTTGTAACAACACTGACGGACTTAGCCTGCTGCACCTCGAATCTATGGAGATATGGTGGGTATGGATCTCTCACACTCTCTTTGCATTTCCCTTCCACCCTAAGTCTTCGTACGTCGTGGCGAGTCTGCACAGCCTTATATTACCGTTACTGAACTTCTAACGCAGGCATGCCATCACAGCTGCAGGTGCGTACATAGTGCGTAGCGCTTGGCTTTGGGTTATCGGATATAGTCTCGTCACCCGAGTGGCTCGGTAAGTACTTTACATGCCACAATGGAAAGGCTTGTCGAAAGATGTAAGTGGATGTTCTTTTGGTATATTCTATGCAGCAACCCGTGGGGATCGGCTGTGTCCTTACGACTCTGCTCGAGGTCGGTGCCCAGGCTTTGACACGCCAATGCCATAGTCAGTTACACGACACTACAAATTCTCGGCCCTTCTACTTCGTTTACCGTTCACCAGTATCGTGGGATCCCACGACTGTGTGTGCCACATCTTGGTTCTCTGCCTATTAGGGCAGATGCGTCCCGCTATCTCGTAGACGCCTCGGAGAGCGGATCGGGACCCGATTCGAGAAGAGAAAAAAAAAATCATGGGGAAACTACCGAGGGGCAGGTGCACTGAAAGTCTGCGTCATCACCATGAACACGCCTTCATGCTTGTACTTCTTGTGATTTTATCATTCTGACTGGAGCTGCGAACTTGGGGAGCGAATCCCATGTCAATAGAGTTTACCTCCACCATCTGATGGCATCGTCGCAGGCGACAAGTTCCTACACGCACATCCACTAACCTACGCAGATGCGTACTGAAGCAGTTAGCAAGTCGTATGCAAGAACCGAAAGTCAGTGTCTCACAATAGCCTCCTGTGAGTACCCAGTCTCAGTGATCAATTGCTGACATCCGTAACGACTGAAGCACTGGCGCCGTCCCTGAACCTGACCTTAAAAGCCTCTGACCTAACCTGTACGTACGCATTCACACACATGGTCTATGTACTCAAGCAGAGTGAACGTACAGAGCTTAGCACGCCTTCGTACCTAGCAACGCCGCTGACGCGCCGTCACGCGCCTACGAAGACTCGCCTAGTAATCGCAGAGATTCCCACCGCTGACAGAACGCAGAGTGACTTCCAGGACAGTTTCATCTTGGAAGGGCGTGTACTAGCGTACCACTGTATCCACAGCACCCCAGCTGGAAAATCCAAATTCAACCAAACACGTGCTAAACCGATCAGACCAAATTCTACCGTGAAGATGGCGCAGTTATGACTTCGTTTGGCCCGATAAGTGACAGGCACTCCTTAGAGTATTATTACATTCTACACGTTGTCTTTTGAACTTGAAGTTCAAAAGAACACGTCTAAAACCCGTAACTCGCATTTGGCAACCACAGCCAGCGTAACAGGTAAGGGAATCCAATTTACAAGGCGCGGAATTTAGGCTATGTTTCGTGGGGAAGGCCAAGGCCACCGGAGTTTCTAGGTACCTGCCAAACTTTGCATCCGTAAGGATGACACTAAACTCCAAGATACGCTTTGTCAGAGGGGGTGAAGTCTATCATGATGTACTCACCAGTCGCGTCCGAACAAACGATGTTGTAACGTTCATGGTGCAAGTGGGTAAAACATACGTTATTCAGGTTGCTACCCGCGCTTAGCAAAGCCAACAGCAGACTGCGCTGCACAGCTGTGAACCATTCGGTGATGCAGCCACAGTGCTCACCATCCGAGGATCGAGTCCACCAAACCTTGTAGCTCTGGCCGCGCATCTGCCATCTAGGTCGCATGATCGAGCGACGTTACCATTCGCTCGGATACAGCCGCCTTTTCATTTGGTGTTTTCTCTGCCACTCGGACACTGCAGTCATGTCACCGTTAAGCATGCATGGGTGCAGAGTTACTAATATCGGATCCGATGGGCCGAGTTCTCGATGGCTGCCGAGATGCTAGGGAAGGCTGATCGCCTTGATTACTCTAATGCAGCTGCGCCATGATGGTGTGGTGTGGGTGACGCCATTGGACGATCATACGCACGGTACCCGCGAGGCTATAAGGGTGTGTTCATGTTCAATCTAGAGGTCGGACTCATAGTCCTTATCAAACATGGAGCAAGATACCATGGAAAGGACAGGTCCGACTTGCACCGACGATCGATGTGTATCTTGGCGCACAGAGAAAAATGCACGCCATGCTCTCGGCCCATGCATACCCATGACGACCTCATCTCGTTGTTGCCCATACCCTAAAGCGTTGCCACTCTTCGATGGTGCAACGTTTAGTCCATTGCTGCGGCAAAGACGTTTACCGGGTAGATCCGGTCCCTATTTCCGAACAAAGGGCCCCCATAATCCAGATAGAGTGCTTTGTGAGTAGGGATGCATTATGGAGAGAACGTGAAGCCTTGTTAGGGAGGTCATCTGAGCAGCTCACAATACATATGTTCCTAATAATTAGGCTTGGCCCACATGTACACGTGGGCCGCGAACTTCTACAGTGGGTACACTGACCTCGTTTGTCCGGCCATATAGCTCACCTGATAGGGGTCGAATGATCATCTTGTTCGGGTCAGACGACTATGTGATTGGGTGGCCGTCCCGATCGGGCATCGTGGTGGTCGTGAGTCGAGGCTAGGATTTGGACCAAGCACCTACTCGCTTTGCATGCGTGATGCCGATGCCACCGACTACCATGGTGCATATGTACATATCTGAAGTTTTGACGCCCATGACCTCCGGTGGCTCGTTCCTTCCTAGTACAGTAAGTTCAAGGCACGGCACGTAGTACCGCTCTGGCCAGAGCTAAGTTATCTTTTTGCTGACAGTCTGGTGACTTTACGACCATTTTGACACACCACCACTTGACAGATGCGTGATTAGCCCCTCTGGACGAAAGGATACCGAAACCGAAACGATGAAGGAACGATTGACACCCTCCAGAGGAACCGGGGATTTTAGGTCCCATTAGTTTGACTTTTTCAGGGCTGCTCTGATGGGATCCTGTACGTACTGCGACGTAACCTGTTTGACTTGGAAGTGTGAACGATCATTCAACCTGTTGGCTTGTGACCAACCAGGTCCTGGCGCTGATAATCGAGGCCCAGTGGCCCACATCATATCTTTAGATTGTTCCTCACGCACTGGCTCAAATACATAACCGACATCCTTGCGACCTGTCATTCCAGTGTTCAGCTAGCCAAGACTGTATATATTCGTCGCTAAGCAATATCAGAGTGACATGTTACTAGAGGTTACTATCTGTGTTAAGTACCACGAACGTGGATCGGTAAACAGCGCGAGGTACACATATTGTGGAGCGGGTGGTATTTCTTGTTATTTCGCAGTGGATTTGGAAGAATTGACACTAGCACAACGCCAACTGTCACATTGTTTTCACCTTCCGGGTGGCGTGGCGGTCGGTGGGAGTCGAAGTAGCAGAAAATAGATAAAAGGACCAACCACGCGATGAGATGAATACATGCGTATGTTATACAGGACCATGTACGTATACGTCTGACATGTAAGATCTCCAAATCTGATGCTATGGAGTTGGGAGCCATAGGATATGTATATGAAAGAGGGTGAAAGCGTGTCCAAACCTGTTTCACCAAAGCTGCACGTGAAATGCTGTTACGGCTAATGAGGGGGACGGCAAGCACGGATAACTGATCCGTTCGTGCCGGTGCCACTGAGTGGTTCAAGCATGGCCGATGGTGTGCACGTTGGGCTAGACTGAGTTCATCGTGGCGGACTTGGGATTGCCGCGGACAGGAGGCATTGGCGAGGACGGGGGGAGGGAGGGGTCTAGATTGAGCTTTGCGTCGATCATCAATTGGATGGCTGGATGAGCAATCACACCTACACAACGACCGTGTGTGGGTGGAAGTAATCGAGGACGATGGAAGATTGATTGAGTTCGAGCACAGACGCACAAGCGTGTGTACATATGGTCAGCATACAGGAGGATTTCTAAGATATGATCGAGGGGGGAGGGGTAGACGTGGGAAGAGAACTGCCGGTACGCGTGAGAGTTGATACCATCACGACGAACTAGAACTGAATTGGGAGGAATGATGTTTTTTTATTTTTATTCCTTATCCATTTGTTGTTGATTGTTTACTGTTCTTGGGAGCAACGACGACGGGAGTCTGCGAGCGACGTGGCGACTGACGGCGATCTGCGCCGATGACTAGATGGTTATGATGCAGCGGGGTGCCGACAAGTGCGTATACGTGATGCGCTCGAGAAGAAAGGTGGGCAGGGGCAACCGTTTAGAAGAGCGGAGGAATAATACCGGAGGGATGCATTGCACGGAGGAAATAGTATGTAGTGGGGAGTGTATCCATGGAGGTGTCTAGGTAGATCTCTTTATTAGCGGTTGGCAGAGTGGATTAGTGGATGAGTTCGATCAGAAGGTGTGTGTTAGTGTGGGTGTCTACTACTGGTGACGGTCCCGAAAACGGGAAGGGGGGTGCCTGGTTGGTCCAGTTGGCAATTGAATTGAATTGTGGGAAAAGTATACTGAGGTGAGTCCACAGACAACCTTGCGGCGCGTCTGCCACTACGGTTTGGGGGGATTTGAATGGAATGGTTGTTTTGTCGATCAGGCCAAGTCACGTGGACGAGTAAGATGGTATTGCACGTGTCATGCGTTGAACTCAACCTTGACACTGTTATTCAGGATGGGCTCAAAGCACTGCCGCTGTAGTACAACTGGTGTGCAAGAGATTTTGAGTAACGGTCGATGCAAATCGTCGCCACTAGGTACCGACGGGCAGACGTACCCATGAGTCCGGTTTCGGGGGGAAAAGCCTCCGTATGCCAACCAACCTGCGGAGAAGCATACCGGCAAGTTCCGCGGAAGATCCAGATTCAGATTCAAAGCCAAAACTCTGCTAGACCCCAATTGGAAGATCTGAGATTGTAAAAAAAGCTCCATATCAAGTATGAAATGGGTTTAAATGTATATTTTTTCTTCCGTAACAGATGCAATTACGTATATTGTTTTTTTCGGCCTCACTGCCTCGCAGGTACTGTAGACGTTTTCATTCATAAAGGAGGACAGTCCAACGCTGGCTCCAGCCCAGTATCAGTGCCTCCTTCCTCGGTCTGTCCGTCCGCGTCCCTGCATAACAAGTTCATGCCTCGTCATTACTCCGACATGAGCCCCTCGTCCGTATCCCCACAGTCCCCTACCGCGCCAGGGTCGCTTCCTCATCCCTCGCCACAAAACCTGGTATCTCACTCGGTCGCCAAGAAAAAACATGTTTGTCAAACTTGCGACCGTGGTTTCACTACCAGCGGCCACCTAGCGCGCCACATCCGCGTGCACACCGGTGAGCGCAACCACAAATGTCCCTTCCCTGGTTGCGAGACCAGATGCTCCAGACAAGACAACCTCCAACAACAGTGAGTGCCCGTCCTATTTATCTTACTCCCCCGATGGCGTGCCTCTTTGTTTCCTCTCTTGCTGTTTTCCTGTGCTGAGCTGTATATTCCATGTAGTTATCGTATCCACTTGTCTCCGGGATCGAGAAGGAGCTCCAGTTCTGCTACCCGGGCTGCAATCGCTCGTGCGGTCGGTGCCGCAACCGGCCGCAGCCGCTCGAGTGGTCTCTTGACCATGTCGGACCGCTCCTCACACGATGGTCTTACCACCCCTCCTCCACTGGAGCACGCCATCCCTCCTCCACCGGATTCCCCTCCCGCACTCGTCCCTGCATACCCCATATATCCTGATACAATTCAATCCGGCAGCGTGTCCAGCCGATCCTCGACACCCTTGGAGAATTCGTATCCAATTATACCTTCACATTCCCAGTCTCTCTCCAATGGACACGTCGCTCAACATTCTCCATTGCAAACCCACTTCGCTGATAGTCCTCCAGGCTTCGAGCCCGCCCATTCATCCGGGTATGGATATCACGCACCTAGTACAGGGGCCTCCGTACAGGATCATAGCTACTCATATTACGATGAGAAACCGTCTACAGCTCGCCTCCAATCCGCTCTGCATCAGTCGTCGATGGACAGTATGCACGACCACTCGCCACCCTCCTCAGCGCACGTGCCTTCCCATTCGTCTCGCTTATCTATTTCCCACTTGTCCCACCCACAATCCTATCCAGTACACTACAGCACGCCCTCACCAGATTCTTCCCACTCTGTTTCAGTCTCCCCACATTCCCAAGCGTCTGAACCCTCCCCACCAAACTACTCGGCATACCGCAACGAGGGCAACCATGACACTACGACGTCTTATTCTTCCTTGGATGGTATGTCGAACGGGTACATACCCGGTTCTTCTACTCATATCGGCCTGCCACCATCGTATCATGCTACCCATCATCCCATGGGAATCCCCCAACAAAATCTCCCTAGATACGATTCTCCGCCTCCCATTCTGGCGCCCATCCAGGATGAGCGTGTCGTAAGGGGTGACATGGGACGTTTGGCGCAGCACATTCAGGTTCCCAGTTTGTCTACTTCGGCGACTTTGGGAGCGTCAGCGTATACGATGTCTCATCATCCACATGCCCACTCGTCTATCGGTGGGTATTCGTACCACGCATCCCCACTGTCTATGGGGCAGGGATGGAAGTCCGAGCTGCTCAGGGGGCGGTCGTAGACCGTCGACTACCGCACTTTCAAAGATTAGATGCGTCTTTGCTTTTCTCTTTCCTCTTCCTCGTGTTTCGCATCGTTTTATTTTTTTTCTCTCAGTTTTGATGTGAGCCGGTTATTTGTACTCTAGGCTCACCGCTTCCAGTCTTCGACGCTCACTGCTATCCGCTTTTCCTGCACACCTCCTGTCGCTCATCTGACCTGTCTTTGTCTGTCTGTTCTGGTGTCCACCGACCCCCCGCTGTATCACTAAAATTGTCCCCTTTACTGCCGCCGTTGCGAACCAAGCCAATTGCATCGCTACATATCCTTTGCAAGTACACGTACCCTATAGTCTCACCTCAATACTGTACAGTATTGTTCATAGAAAAACAAAACACGCTTGGTTCTTCGCGTTCACCATGTGGGATTGCCCGAAGGGATTAATCGACCACCGGCCAATACCGAGTCAAAGTAAGGGTTGTGAAGGCGTGGCCATTGTCGATATATGGGATAGTCTGATTGGTAGGCCGTTAATTGGAACTGGGTTGAGATCCAGGCTGTTGGGGGAGTTCACAAATCACTGCACAGCTTGAGGTGTGGAGGTCATACGCCTCCAATACAATATTGCTTCTTTCCATCCATACAATGTTCCACTGCTTCCACAGCAACGCTCCAAGGCACGCCGTCTCCATCCACGTCCGTCATGTACTGGGCACGTATTATGACATTATGCTGGTCGATACACACGCTAACTTCTAGATGCAGGGCGATACGACGACAACGATGCACGTTCGCCACTGGTCTTGTGCTCGTGATGGATATTTATGTTTCCGAGTTCCGTGGTAGAAGCTTCGGAGTGCTTTGGGACCTGTCCGGTTGTGGCCAAGTGCTGCCAGGCGTCCAGGTCCGAGCTTCCCAGCTCCAAAATCGTGTCGTGGCGTGTATTATTCACCGTGTTAATAGCACACTGCCTTGCTTGACGATTGATGACCCGTCTTGACGTTAACCCATTCCTCGAGGAGTTTCGACGGGAATAACTCTAGTAAGCCAGTTCTTGCCCCACTGAGGATTGGCGTTGAACACGCCGGATCATGCTGAATTTGAAACGAGTTCTTCGGCTGGCTTAGCCGGACGATCCTCCTATACATTTACTTGCATGACTACTTAGTAGCCTTCCGTCATGTGCAATGTGATGAACATCGTTTTTTTAACGAGGGCAGGCAGGAGACATCCAATTTTGCACTTCAACTGGAAATAGGGGGAAAGTTACCGTGAGAAGGATACTCCGAAGATGGTAACGATGGAACCGCTCCGTTCCACCGACGACGGCCAGCTCCGCTGTGTCCCATCCTTCCTTCAGTGGTTCAGCAAGTGCGACCGTCAGCCTCGTTTCGATTTATCAAGGTATAATTAAGCTCCTGACTGGTAAAGCATCAAGTAATCCAACAGTGTCCTTACTATCCACTTTTGTATGGCACTCACGCGTCTATCTGCTACCACTTTGACTGAAAACGAGGTAGGACAGCAAAAGCGGCGCAACGCCCACGTTTCCATAGACGCTGGTTCTAGAAAAAAAAGAAAATATTGAAAGATGGGTGAGAGCGATTTGGATAGGTATGTCTTACCAACATGCTTTGTACTTTGCATTTTGGTTTTTCCGGGTGTGTGAGGGAGAAAGGGCGACACTAACCAATGCCTTTACACCCACATCTCATCTTGTGCTTCTCTCTGTGTCTTGCTCGTATGCGCATTGTTAAATTCCGGCCCGTCCGACATCGCCTCGAATTGCGTACACAAACATGGGGATCCACTCGTACCCGCACACGCACACACCCCATTCACACACCTGACATTTCTTGCCAAACCCTCGGGATTGGTTTCGTCCTTCGCGGTGTGGCGTAACCGCCTACTCTTTGTTTCATGCAAACGCCCACACTAAAATTTCAACTCAACTAACTTCAATCGACACCGACATGTCCGGACTTCGGGATGACTATGCGTCGTTGCCTTCAAATGCGACGTTCGGCCCATCTCGCGACTTGCCGATCCCGTTCGTATATTCAATCATCCCGTGGTGCCACTGCTGTGTGCCGTGTCGGTGCGTCCTCATTGTCCGGTGCCCTCGGAATGTATGAATTCCCTATTCAACGGTGATGTATCCTGCCGTTCCGATGACGGCTCTAAAACTCTACCCTGATGATTTTCTCTTTCTGAATTCCGCGGTCCTCCGGTTCCACCCAACATCTAATAATCACGTGGAACCCCGGTTTATTTTTTGATTCCAAACACAAACACGATGAACGACGACGGACGGCGGTAACTTCCGCTCGGCAACGCAGGCAAATCGACCAACTGACGCGATGCGAACCCATCTCCGAGGAACAGGTCAAGCGGCTATGCTTCAAAGCGCGCGAAATTCTCATCGAGGAGGCTAATGTTCAAGTCGTGGATTCTCCCGTGACAGTGAGCATCGCTAGTTTCTTCACACTTTCCTTACATCGCCGCACCAACAACTTTGTTCACACGCAAATGTCCTCTCTATCGCCCTTTCCCTTCCCTCACACGCGCGCAGATATGTGGCGATATACACGGCCAGTTTTATGACCTCATGGAACTCTTTAAAGTAGGCGGGTTTTGTCCGGAGACGAATTATCTCTTCATGGGTAGGTCAGCCCGGTCCGGTCGTCTGTACTAGCACGCCTTGTGCCCCATGATATCGGATCACGAGGCAGCTTATTAACCTATTGTGTCACCTCATCAGGTGACTTTGTGGACCGTGGTTTCTACAGCGTCGAAACTTTCCTTTTACTGCTCGCCCTCAAAGTTCGTTATCCTGACCGCATCACGCTAATCCGTGGGAACCACGAATCGCGGCAGATCACCCAGGTGTATGGATTTTACGACGAGTGCATGCGCAAGTACGGGAGCACAAACGTGTGGAGATGGTGTTGTGAGGTGTTTGATTATCTTGCACTTGCTGCGATTGTGGACGGGAGGGTGTTTTGTGTGCATGGTGGATTAAGCCCGAACTTGCAATCGATCGATCAGGTGAGTAGGTGTGTGGACGGTACGGGACGTGCTTCTCTCTCTCTCTCTCTCTCTCTCTTTCTTTTGCGGTTGCGGGTCCTGAGACTTGAGGTGTGAAGCGTCGCGGATGTTGTGACCATCGGTGATGGTAACGGGAGACGGGCAATGTGGGTTGGACGTGCAACATGCTAATCGGCTATCGCATTCTAGATTCGAGCAATTGATCGAAAACAGGAGGTCCCGCACGACGGACCGATGTGTGACTTACTGTGGTCTGATCCAGACGGTAGGGTCCCCTTTCCCGTTAGACCCTGATGCCTGACCCTCGCTTGTACGCGTCTGCAAAACTAGAAATATCGGGATGGGGAATATCACCACGGGGTGCTGGTTTTTTGTTCGGGTCGGACATTACCAAGACGTTTGCGCATCACAATGCGATCGACCTCATTGCGCGCGCGCACCAGCTAGCTATGGAGGGGTACAAGCTCATGTTTGATGGGACAATCGTGACTGTTTGGAGTGCCCCGAATTATTGTTATCGGTGGGTCTTGCGTGGATTAGGGGAGTGTCTTCTCGGAGTGCTCACTGAATAATTTCCTGGGCTTGAATTGGGCGGTGTTCATTTGAAATGAATAGGTGTGGAAACGTAGCCTCTATACTCGAACTGGACGAACACCTCGCGCAAGAGTACAAAGTTTTCTCGCATGCACCTTCGGTAAGTTCATCCCGTTGGTCAGTTTTTTTAAAGTTCTGCTCGTCTTGGTTTTCTCTAGTCTTCCGCGACACAGTCGCCGCTTTTTTTAATACTTATTTCTTCCTCGCTTCTTCCAAACGGTGTTACGCGGCTTGCCGGCCAGTGGCGCAGCACTTAACAGCTTATATTTCATATCGTTGGGTAGCGTTCGAGTTTTTAAGTTTTTCCCCTTTTTACCACTTTCATTCGTTTCGTGATATAATACGTGGATTCTGAAGGTTATGTCAAACAGGACGTGCGATCCATACCAGCAAAGCGGCCTCTTGCGGATTACTTCCTTTAATGAGATTGTGGCGGCATATCTGCTTTGATCTGGATTGGCTTGGTGGGTTCCTTTTGACGGCTGTCTAGTTAGTTTGTGCCTTGACTTACTCTCCAACGTTCGATGTATTGGAATTTGTGTCCTTTAGTAACTCCCATCTCTCCACCGCAGTTGACTCATGAATCCGATCGTCTCTGTAGCCAATCGCGTCCGCCCATCAGTCCGCTCATTTTCAATGGTTGGTATTAGTATCAACGGGGACCTGCCTACTGCATGTATCTGGCGTGTCTGGGTAGGTCTGGGTGTCGTGATAAGCCTCCTCTGCTATTGCCGGATCCAACATTCAATACATGTCGTAACATACGTTACGGGCGTATGATGAGCGACATAATGCAGACAGACAAAACGGACAAGTCTCTCCCGGCAAGCCGGAAACACCGCCTTTTGGCGCTTAACTGTCTTTGTTTCCATGTCTAACCATGTGCTCACTCGAGTCTATCCCCCATCTTACATGATTATGGTGGGGAAGGGTTGACGCCTTTCTATAAATTTTCTTTCTACGTACATTCATACAATTGTAACCATGGCATGTGAGGTACCCCATCGCAAGGGCCACATCGAAATGGCAAGATCGACGGGGCCGAAGAAGGGTCTTTCGACGTCGCATGCAAGGGTCGTTGTGTTGATCAGTGTCGTGATAGACAAGCTGTGCACGCGAAGATGTGGGGTTCTCAGATATTCGTGCAACTCGGACAGGGGCTTACACGAGGTTCGCTCGCAAGTTCCAGGGGCTGGTACTATGATACGCATGGACTGTGGTGCCTCTTCCATGCGCCATCCATGCTGATTCTAGGGCACAAAATGGCGGGGCCAATTGGAAATTCTGTGCGGACTTCGTTGATAGGAAGCGAGTGTGGGTGAAGGCGCTATCTCCTTCCTTCTCGTTCCCCCCTGATACTGGAAATAAGAATAACCTTTGGTGGGCTAGTGATGATAAGGTGTCTGAAATGAGGCTAAGCTTTGGAGCGCTGAGATGCGGAATACTTTGTTATCTCACGGTGTTGTGGGTCGTGCCATGTGATTGATGCTTCTCACACGCTCCTCAGGCACCTGCGATATGATAAAGGATGATGCAGGACGACGCTTACAGTAAGTAGACGTGGCTGATTGCGGGCGAGTGGGCGGTGGAAGTTTGTTGTCCTTCGAGTCGCAACGTTATCAACTCCGCGTCTATGTTCCCTCACAGCAAGACCCTTGATATCGAAGACTGACCAACCTTAAAGTGTCCTTGGTAACACACGTGCTAAACCCAGGGACAATATTTGCACGTGCGCAATGCAGGAAGCAACCCCTGAAATAGTGTAAGTACCCAAATTGGGCGGGTCTGCGGTATTAGCCTGGGAAGAAGTGCGGCCCTTTCAAACCTCCAAAGTAAGGGCCCTGCACTGGGGCAGGCGGTAAATTTGCGGGTCGTCACGGCGGTCGGTAGAATTCCACATGGCGAAAGGAAGAATAGATCTAGAGTGGGTTGAAAGGGACAATATGCGTCTCGGTCCCGACGCCATGTGGGGGGAAGAAGGTCGATTCTGAGAAGGAGAGGCGGCATAAATCAATAACATCAGATGCTACAACTAGCTACCGTCGGAGCGTCAAGGAATTACATACAGTCCATCCAATATCTGACTCGGATCTTGCGATTTTGCACCGTATGCTCTGTAACTGCGAGGAAGAACAGAAATCGCTCGAATAAAGGGACAAATATCGGGTAATCCGCCGCGGATTGACAATCGGTGTTGCGAGAGCACAACAGCGGAGCCGTGCGGAATTGGAAAGGCGGGAGAAACAGCTGGATGAAGGCTTTCAGCCAATGTCTGAAAATAATTGGTACCCTAAAAATTATTGTGTCAAAAAGTCCGAGATCAGTGTGAGACGCGCCAAGCTACACATGTCAAGTCGAATATATGTATCAGTGGTAGTGGCGAAATTACTGACTGAGGGCTTGAAGTCAATGAATCACCACGGCCGATCGACTCATAATGGCGTGCAAGAACATGCAGCATCCACTTGTGGCGAATGAATGTAGGTGCCCCATCACTTGTCTGACATATCTTAAATGCTGTGTTCATTTTTCGTTGTCACAACAGAAAAGGTGAGAGTGAATCTAATAACTGGCTGCCGTCGCCGGACGTCCGGCATGTGTTTGCGTTAGACGCTCAGTTCGATAGCACGAGTCGCACGACATGAAAGGACATGTCCAAGTGAAGATTTGCTGATATGGGTTTAGACGAGGTACTCTGTCCTCTTCAAAACAGCTTTTACACACGAGACAAGGACAACCATAGACGAATCACCGAGTGGTCGCCATTTTGTCCGAGACACAAGATTGGAGGATCAAGTCAACAGCTTCATGGTCAACTTGGAGTGACTGGGGGTCGCGGAGCCATGCTTTGTTTATTACGTAATACACGTTCTCGCCGGCCCAAGTCGCCTTTAGGTTGTATATCTGCAATGCGATCTTTGGAGCCCAATGTCAGAGGCCCTTACCATAGGCCTGACTGAAGGATATATTACAAAGTTGCACAAACTGGTGGGTACTGGAACAGTTGCATCCCAAGCTGCGCCAGTGCGATCGTCGTCGTTCTGTCGGTTGCTTTACTTATGTCAACGCCCGCACCCACGCTAACCTTACAACAATGCACATCAAAGCTGCCAGTTGCCTGCCAAGCAATGCCTACTCGGCTGCAGGAGAATATTCATTGGCCCAAGCAACTCCGCTTCAGCTGACTCACTGCCACATTCCACGTGCAGCGTATTTAGTCCAAGCAGCAGAAGTTAATTTAGTTTTTCCGTCTGTCACTGTAACTTTTCAACCTATACCCAAGTTTCCCGTTCGTGTCCCCTTGGGCAGAATGGCAATCATTCCTTTAATCCGTGCTATCATTTTCGGTGAGTTGTGACCGTGTGTGGATCTGAGTGCTGTTCTTTTTTTTAACTTACATAAATGTCTTCGTTGCAGCACTTGCAACCTTGTTTTCTGTGGTGGTCCTCGGCATCTGTGCACATCTCGAATACTTGACCAGTGGGAATACAAATTCTTATCTATCCTTTGCGGCGTTCGGTCTTGCTTCAGCATGCGTAACTGCGGTGACCCTGCCATTGTTGTGAGTGATGCGGTCATCACGGGCATTGCTTCTTCTTCACGCCGTTGGTTCTATAGCTTTATTCTGGGACACGCTAGACGCGGCGTGTTCACTTCGATGGTTATTTTTGAGATAGTCTGGTTTCGTGCGTGCCAAAACACTTGCTGGATAACGGAGAGTTTATTCTGTCTGAACCTTGCATAACTTAGTCGTTCTCTGGGTCTTGTGGGTCGCGACCGCGGGGGACACTGTCGTCGACAGGGCCTACTTCTTCCCTGAGGGTTGTGTTCTCAATAATCGCAAGTCACAATTCTTTTCTCTGGAGAAATACAGCTCACTGCTCCTTAGCCTCCGTCAACCAGATCTGCTACGAGGTTACTGCGGTAGAGGCATTTCTTTCCTCAACTTCTTTGCTGGTTGGCTTTATTTTACTCCTGCCAACGACTAAACTGATGATCTCTTCCTAGTGTTCTTCTACTACGATGTATTGGTTCTGTATGCCATCATCTGTGCTATCCGCGGAAAAGGAATTTGGACCATCTCGGTTCGAGACGCCGCTAACAGTGGTCCCTACAATCCTGTGGTAGCTATGACGCAACCGCAATACCCACAACAGTCAGCACCGCAATACCCCCAATATCCCGGATATCAGAACATGCCGCCAGCGAACGGCTATTCTCCAAATGGAACCCCGCAACCATACAACGCGTATCCGCAGCAAACCGCCCCCCCTGTGGGCCAAGGCCAACCATACTCTCTTCAACAACAGTATCCAGGGGCTCCTCAACAATATCCTGGTGCTCCTCAACAACAATATCCTGTTGCTCCTCAACAACAATATCCTGGTACTCAGCAACAGCAGTATCCTGGTGCCCCTCACCAGCAGTATTCCGGTGGTTCACAATCGGACCATTTCAATCCAGTTCAAAGTAGCTACTCTCCGAATGCACCGTCGATAGGGAACAGCCCGCTTCCCCCCCAACCTCACTACAACTCTTACCCCGGATCTTATCCCCAGCCGTAACCCCTTCTTAGGCAATACCATAGAATGGGACTTATCAGCACTTTGGGCTTCTGCGGTTGAGATATGTTCTAGAATAAGGATTCTTCCTCGCAGTTGGCCGATGTGGCTGATTTCGCTGACAGTGAAAAATGTAATTATGTTCCGGGAGTTACGAACGCCCGCATGTTTACATCACCCATGGATTGGAATGACGTCTAGTGCCTGTGGCTCTTTTCTCTGTTGGATACATAGGTGGGGATAAATCCTGTGAAACCAAGGTGGCATCCTCGTTCTTCGCGGTCCCGAAAACCAGAGCATGGTTCTTTCATTTCAAATGCCATTGTTCCAAATCTTGTTACGGACATCCGTCCCCGTGTTGCGTGTCGAGGCCCCGCTAATGTTATCTGTCGTCGAACTAGAGGCTGGTCGCCCATAAATTCTTCAGATGCTCAGCTACACAATTGACTGATGGTCCTAGTCAATATTGGTCCCCACTGCCTCCGCACCAATGCACCAAGTAAATATGTGATGCCTCACCAGGTGGATCCTCTCGGGAGAATCTTAGCGCATCCCATTGCATATGATACTCGGGCGGCGCCAGAATTCTGCTTACTGGAAATAATCACAGAAGGATAGACTTGCCTGAGACCGCCGGTGATCTTGCTTGGTTTAACCGCGGACCAAACAGCAGGCAAGGAGAATTAGAATTTCAAAAATTATAGGTCCCCCGTTGCAACACCAGTGCTGATCATGACAATCGAGCAAGTCTAGTTCCTAGCGATGCGAGCGGATATGTGGCTCCGGTACCAATTGAAGGCGCTTCGGGCGCCGCCATGAAATAGAAGAGCGTGCGGCTGGTGTGCGCCGCTCCACAGATTGATATGTGGAGTCAGAGATTCGAATTACGAGGAAGCAAGATCATCTCCTATACAACAACACCCGCCGAATACGACAAAGGGAAATATACATGTTGCGAGTTTGTCCTTGGGAACGTCTTCACGTAAGCCATCCCCGGTTGGTGGAACGGCCCTTTCGCTGTCAAGGCTTGCTACATCTTAAGCCATTGGCCCAACATTGGCTAGCGTTGACCCCGGTGATTTATCCTGACGTCAAAACAGTTCCCCTTGAGGGGCCGCCGGTACAGAGTGAACCCTGTGTAATATCCTGCAAAAGGCGTTGCAACGGCTCAACGTTCAGCCATTTGCAATTTTCTGTCCCAGGTTGATTGGCGAGCCGTTCGCGGGGGTCTGTCGGAACTCCGTGTACCAAGGGTAAACCTATGGAAAGCACAAGGATGTTCCCCTTTGCCCCAGAAGTATCCATTTCATATGCATAACTTAACTTTGGTCAGCGGACCAGTGGACCATCCGGGGGTTTTATGCACGATCAAGGCGGGACTCATCCTGCTGTACATAATTCTTGTCGTCGGAACACAACTCAGTATTTGACATGCACAGCGAGCCCACCGAGTCCCCATCATTTCCGATCAGTGAAGTATTCACACTTTGCCCGTCTTGATCACAGCTACTCTCGTTTCCTGGCTGACTTGCTCATCATACCGGTTATCGATATCTCTCGCCGTGCCTCGCGGAAGCGGCGTTGCCATCAATCAGCAGATCAAACCACCGATTATCCACAGCTAACCATGTGAACCCTCCTTCCAAGATCATGATAGTACATGTATGAAATCCCGGGAATGGGTGGGGCTACGCAAGGTGTGGGCATGCAGTAGGACACGCTCCGGTCTACAAAATTGGTGATATGGATACGTGCCGAACGCCGGAAAATAGTGAAGATCTCCGTTTAGGTTTTTCCCTTCTGAGCACTCTTGCTAATAAGCTTCGCTTTCTCGAGGGCAGCCTGACCTGTGGATGTATAAAATTGAATTAATTATATTCCGACCGGGCCGCTGAGGCAATGAGGCAGCGAATACTTACTCTGCTTGACGAGATTTTTCTTGTAATCGACGATGGTGATGTCCTCACGGGTGAGGTTTTTGATCGTCTTGTCCTTTACCTCCCATAGTTCCTCAGCTACCTGCGAGATAAGACCTGTTTCACACAGGTCAAGAACATGAGGTTGGCAGGGCGCGACTGGTACGCACGGAAGTCGTGGGAAACGATCACAACGCCGCCCTCAAACTCCTTGATAGCTAAGGCCAGGGCATCTATAGAAGCCATGTCCAAGTGGTTGGTTGGCTCATCTGACCCAATCAGGAATGAAAATTTGTCAATGCGACGGAATTGGACAGACGCACCCAAGAGGAGAATGTGTGGGTGCTCCATCGCAAGCTGCGCGAATACGACACTACGACATAATAATCCATGAGCAATGCTACTGATTTCAATTGGACTGATCTCTTTCTCACCGATTCCGCAAGCCGTCCGACAGCTGCCTGATCGGAGAGGTCTGATGTGAACCGGAAAGACCGAACCTCCCGAGTTGCTGACGCCAAGCCTAAATCGGTACATCGGAGAGGCGTCATAAGATCATGACCATGGTAAAGCGGAGGGAAGTAAACCTTACTTGAACATCCTTCTCAGGATACTTTTCATAAAAGAGTGATTGGAAGTACTCTATTGGCGATTTGTCATATGGAAGTTGGTCGGCTGAGTGTTGCGAGTATTTCGCTAGTTTCAGAGCAGCGTGTTTAGAGATCGTCCCTTCACATGGTTGTAGGGCACCTGTGATGAGGTGGAGAAGTGTCGATTTGCCAGCACCGTTTGCGCCGAGGATAGCCACGCGGGAGTCCATGCTGGTGCACACCCATTCTGTGTCAGCGACGTCTCACGTGACATCAAGATTAGACTTACTCGATACCGAATGACAATTTTTTGTACAAGTAATCCTCCCGCTTTCCGGAGTACGAGAATGCAACCTCATTGAAGGCAATGATCGGAGGAGGGAGCTTCCGAATGTCTTCAAAGTGGAAGCGGAGTGGTCTTGGCGTTTCAATCTTTTCGATGAGGCCTGCAGCCTCCATCTTGTCTATGATCTTCTGCTTTGATTTCGCCTGTTTCACAAGGTTGGCATACGTTCCAGCTGATGCTATGAACCTGGCGAGCTTACGTCAGTGCGCGTAATGCAGGGTGAACAAGTATGCTCACTTTTTAATATGAGCGATTTCCTCTTGTTGCTTGTGGTATGCCTTCATCTGGTTGACCTCATTTTCCCCCTTTGTGCGAACGTAGGTCGTATAGTTACCGGTGTAGTATACGAGTTTCTTCTTCATCGTCAGATCCATGATATTTGTGCAAACGGAGTCAAGGAAGTCCTGAGAATGCGACGTGATAACGAGGATATGATTGTACGTTGACAAGTAAGCCTCCAGCCATACGACGGCACCCAAATCAAGGTGGTTCGTAGGCTCGTCTAGTAACAAAAGGTGCGGTTTAACAAACAGAGCACGGGCCAGTGAGACTCGCATCCGCCAACCACCACTCATATCTTTGGTTGGTCTCTGCATCATCTCTTGGCCAAAGCCAAGACCATGCAAGATACTTGCCGCTTTCGCCTCAAACGTGCTTGGGTCCATCTCTTCTAGTTCTTCGTATGCCTGGTCGAGCGCGGTTTCGTCGACGTCATCAGCTACTGACAACTCTTCGATGCGCTTTTCAAGTTTCGCCACTTTCTCCCTGGCAGAGGCGATGATAAAGTCTACAGCATTGATATCGGAAGGTTCCGCCTCTCCTCGTACGAGATAGATGTCAATATGTGGCGGGATTTCAATGTCACGTTCCGATATCGATTGGAGGAAAGTCGACTGAAATAATGTCAATAAGCACTCCGGTCGGTGGGAACGGATGTATACATACCTTTCCAGATCCATTTTCACCAAGAAGGCCATATCGTTGTCCGTAATTCAGCGATATTCTCTGCACCCTCAATGAGCAGACGGCCATGGAATGATAGGGTATACTGGTCAATTTTGATGTCTCGACCCTTTACGTCGGACACCAGCACTCCAGCAGCGCTCCTTCAACATGGATGAGTGACTTAATGCAGCTTTATTTTGTGTACGCACCGTTCCGTGGCAATCTGTAATTTCGCCATCGAGGTCAAGTCATCCGTGCTGTTGGATGCCGACAGGCTGGTGAGCGGGGTGTTGGCGGTGCTGCCGGTGACGGATGGTGTGGGGGTTGATCCCGACGTTGTCGTCCCAGATTGTTTCGCGGCTTGCTTTGCGGCTTTCTCTGCCAATCGTTTCTGTTTTGAAGCCGAGGGTGCCATAGTGGATGATCGATGAAAAGCAGATACATCCGAGATCGGTGTGTGCTCCTTCTCAAATCTTCGTTGATCGGAGTTCCAAGATGGAGAGATTATCTAATCATCATAATCACCAGTCAGCTTGAATTGTTTCGCTGATTTTTAGGCTTATCACCTGCTGATCACACTTAAGTCAATGCCGAAATCTGGTCTGTGTGGGTGTGTTCTTTGCTTCGGCGGTGTGGGAATAATATACAGGTTCTAATATGCTCAACGCGCTCTACGTCGCGACTACCCCTAAACTCGCTTCTTCTCGTGTCGCTGGTTAAGAAGGCAAGTTATGTTGGAGCGCTCTCCAAACTCGTGCGTGCCCTGTGTGGGTGTGGTCATGTCTTGCGTTTTTAGAACGACTACGTGAGAGATGAACACAGTTCTGGTAAGTGTATGGGTAATCACTCAGAGGTGCGATGACCGGTGGCCGCATGCCTATCGCCTGTGAATCAATCCTTGCTAGAGGCCCTTGCGTAGAATTTCTGCGTCCGAGAGCCAGTTATTAGCATCATAGGCTCTGTCGCCTTATCTAACATTACACGAACCCACGTCAGAGAAGTGCATATATCAGGACCAGGTCATCCATGTCGCGTAGAACACATCAGCCGCGTTATTGTCGCTTTTAAATTCGTGGCCGTCAGCTGTGGTCGCAGAACCATCTTCTCTGTGAGGAATTCCTCATGGTTGTGGCTTTGAGGGTACTCTACATATCACAGTCCTGATTTACACACGACCTGCTACTAGGGCATCGGGCAACGGCCAGTTGAGGCGATGCCCGGATCGGTTGCTACAAGGTTCAAAGGATACATTCGTAGGCAAGGAATCAATCGCGAGCGTCACGTAGCCGTCTCGAAAAGATCTCCATGTTAACTAGTATATGACTAAAGGCACACCCCCACTTTTAAGATCCTCGAGTTGGACTCAGCTTTTCGAGAAGGGTGACGCACTGACGTTATATTCAAGAATCACTTGTAGTAATGTATCGTGTGGTGCTGCGAGCGGAAGGATGCTACTTGCTATTTTCTGCAGAACCTCCCGTGTGATCCATACAGTGAACTAGGTACCTGCACCTGGGTGTATTTCGTTACTGCATCCACTGAATTGTTCTCAGATGTATCATCACCTCTGAAGCGAATGCAAACCACTCGCTACACTAAAAAGTAGCAGTACTAACGAGCAGATCTTCAGTACCACGGACAGTATGCTATCCTGATTATCAGGAGTCGAATACAGTGAAGGCAGGCGTATCTGGGGAATGATTAATAGTGAACATTGGACGGTGAACAGCAAAAGCTTTGCGACGAGGTAGTATTTTACACATAAGAAGTATTGTGCATTGTATGACTGGTTCTCTCGGCTCGCTCACCAACTGTCGGCTGCATTCAAGACACGGCTGGTAGGAGGCTTCGGCATATCGCGGCGATAATAGAGATGCAGCCACATAAGTGAGATGTTAGCAGCTACCAGTTGAGAGTAAATTGATGCGTACGACTCGGAAAACCGTTGAAAGCATTAGACTAGGTTTTGGGAGAAATGAGTTTCCACGACAATACGCCTTTGTCGTCAACGTTTCCAACATAATAAGAGGGCGAAGTTAGCTGGGAAAACGCTGTACCCGCTGGCAATTTCGTTGCAAGCTCAGAAGGATCTTCCACGTAGAGGAGGTGACGCGAGTTTGAGTCCCCGTCTTTATATTTCCGAAGTAACGCCAGAAAGCGAAAAACAGCGAGGTTGGCACTAGCTTGCTCAAGTGAAGTCATGAGGAACAGATGAATGGTTGTCTGATAACGAGGAGCCCTAGAGACATCTGCGAAAGTGGACAGGTTTGAAGGAGGCACTTTTCCATTCACGGCTTGGCCTGCCGGTATATCACGAACATCATGGACAAAGTGCTGGAAATCCAGGAGGGCTCGCTCCAGAAATACGAGCGGTGTCTCAAAAGAAAGCTGCTCATCGTAGCCTCCCACGACCTGCATACCTGTGACGTGGGCCGGAGCGAGGCTTCTATCCTGGCCCTGGTTCGAATCTTTGGCTAGAGTTTGGTGCGAAACTGTGGTATGTGCCTGGTACAGGTACCTGGCCTGGTCCAACATCGAGTGGTCCTTGCCGGATGGCATAAAACTGGAACGGTAAACATTGCCTTCTATCGACTCCGATTCGAAAACAGTGAATTGTCCGTCCTTGAATTCCTCGAGCCCTAAATCAGTGAGCTGTTCCTCCCTGTCCTCCATGAAATCTACATTGACAGCTCGTTGTTTGTCCTCCCCAGATTTGGGATTGGAAGTGTCATAGGAGGACATAGTCGTGTCTGACTTCCCCTTCGTCATCATGTCTCTGAGGAACTGGCCGAGCTTCTGCATAAGCACGACATAGCTCGCAATGAATGCATCTGAAGCGCTAAAGGCGCGTTGCGCAAGCTTGGGAATAAAATCCTTGCATACCCTGGCCCCGTCGGTTAGGACGCGGAACCGATTGCGAACGTCTTCGAGCTGCGCGAAGGTCTCAAGAGCCTCATTGATAAGTGACTGGCGTATCCCGTATACAGAGACGGTGACCTGGGCATCGTCAAGGATGGTCTTCGGAATGGGCTGGAGGGTGACCAAAATGGGGACACCTTTAGGTGCATCATTGCCGGGATCGCCCAGGAGAGGCTTGGCTACCTGAGGAATGACGTCTAGCGCGTCGGCAGGTTTGACGGGAACACTCTCGAGTTCGACGTCGCCGTGCACCTGAAAGTTTATTGACGGTCCATCCGCAGCGGGGAATTCGAGGATGATCACTTACGACCAAGTCAAACTTAGAGTTCATACCTTCAAACTGTGCTTTGATCTTTGCATCGGCTTTGGCATTGAGAGAGACCGCCCCTTTGAGCTGATTGAGTTCCAGCCCGAGTTTTCCTTCGATACTCTCTTCATTCGTCACCTCCGTAGCCCTCTCCGTCATGTTGATGATAAGATTGCCTCCATAGATGATAGAGGACACGAAATGCGTTGTGCGCTTCTGGGCAATGTAATCTTTCTTCACCATGTGCAGGACGTTAGTAGCCATCCCCTTCTCGGCGAACAACAGCCGACGTTCCTCTGTCCGGACCTTGAGCACCAGGGTCCACGACTGCGCCTGACTGTTGCACTTGGCATCATTGAGGTAGGACGCAGACCCTTCAGCCTTGACGAGACCGCCAAGGACTTTGAGGGAAAGGCTTGCCTGAATGTCAAGGAGACTCGCTTTCTTCTCGAGCGAGTTAGAGAGGGCCTGTGTGAGATCAGTGTGTTTGACGTTCGTAACGGCGACTTCAGTGGACTTTTCCTCGTAGAGCTGGACACCGACTGGTGTGTTCGTCGAAGAGCTCGCCAAGGCGAGCGGCATAACCGAGGGTAGGTCTCTGGAAGTCCGTTGGAGGATGTTCAACTGCAGGGGGTAAATTGGATGACATTGGAATGGGTGAGAGATTCGCTGAGGTGGATGCCTGACGTAGATGGATGGGACGGTTTGTCTACATTGTCGGGCTCCATCGGAACCTCTTATTTCTATTGGGACACCTGGATCGAGGGAATGGCACACGAGGCCAGGAATCAAAACCCTGTTATTGCCATTGGAAACCTCCAACATTACTTAAATGGAGCTCTTTCGCCTCTCCTGAGTCCCTCGTCGAGTCTCTCTCCATCTACACGACACAATCGTATATCTCAGCTCGCTTTTCATTCCATCTCTGGATTCAAACAATAGTCTGTCGTTTAGTTTCCTTATGATTATCCTCATACTGACCATTTCTATCTCGTTTTCCGTCTCTTCATGTAGTGCTCTCTGACGAAGAGGTCGAAAAATACATCCAATTTGCAGAGTCCTACGAGGTTCAGAGATCTATCGATGAGGACGATGCTCTCTCCACGACCTTTTTCACTCTGGCCCACGACACCCCGCCCAAAGCTACTTCCTTCGCTCCTGATCCACACGCTGTCTCTTTTGCGGAAGCCCAGTTGTACTATTCGGGCTTGCCTTCTGAGCCTACGCTTCTATACCGAACAGGCAAGGAGAAGTGGTCTCCGCCAAGGGGACCAGAGGCCTATCGCCGAATGAAGGAGTTATGTGAAGTCTTCAATCATCCAATCACCCAGTTCTGGAACAAGGACTTGGGCTGGAAGGTTGTCGACATCATGGACACTCACACAGCCAGTTATGATATCCTATCATGTCATAGAATTTGCTAACCTGGATATCTGGATCCGCTTTACAACCATAGATGTCGTTCGTTTCAAAAAGGTTGAGGTCGACGAACCGAGTGACGACGAGGAAAACGTCGAGGTTGAAGAAGATGATGAGGAAGAAGAACCCACCAAGACCAAGAAACGGAACGTCGGTCCTGTGACTATCTGGATTGGTGTTTTCCCTGAGACTACCACCCCTACGGATGCTCACAGCGCGGCTCAGGATGTCCTAGCCCTTCTCAATGACTACGGTATCACCGATGTCGACGTCGACTTTCGCGAATCATTCTACATGCGCGAGGCTGGTCCTCAGCTTCTCCCACCCGTCGAGGATCTAGACCCACTCGTCGACGTCGTTAGCCCCCTTACTCCGGCCCTTGGTCTCCGTATCTCCACCAGGGCTATGCCCAACATTCAGGGGACGATGGCCCTCTACCTCGCAGAAGGTGGAGACAGCAACAGACTTTTGGGGCTTTCGTGCCGCCATGTTCTTATTGGGCCGCAGGAAGCCAACGTTGACTACAGGTACCACCCCGGTGCGTTTTCCAAGGACATCCTCCTGCTCGGCAAGAGAGCATATACGAACCTGTTAGATTCAATCAAAGATAGGATTAGAAGACACGGCTACTCAATCGAGTACTGGACCAGCCAGATCGAGGGGTTCTTGGAGAGGGAGAGGGGCACAGACCAGGCCGATGTCCAGAAGGCTGCGGCATCACGGATTGCAACTCAGGCATTGATGGACAGGGCCAAGACCGCAGTGGGGGCGCTTGCGGCGCTGCTTAGGCGGGTCGGTACTGATTGGAAAAAACTCAACGTCCGTGTTCTTGGCCACGTCCTCTGGTCCCCTGCCATCGCTCTCGGTGTCGGTGAACATCGTTTTACGGAAGATTGGGGAATCTTCCAGGTCGACCGGGCTAAACTTGGTGATGGTTTCCAGGGTAATAAGTTGGACCTTGGTGCATTTTGACCATCCATCCGGCCAAGACCGTCTACTAATCTACCTAAATATTTGTTTTGTTGATATCTAGGAACGAAGATGCCGCCCGGGGTCTTTACGATGAAATGCTTCCCTCGTGGAGCCATTGACTGGGAGTTCAAGTTTCCTTTTGATCGTCTGCTTTCGCTCGTGGGCACCATCACCGATGAATTGATGCATGCTCCTGACATGTGGGACTTGGACGGCGAACCGTGTTTGTTGGTCGTCAGAAACGGTAACGCCACTGGCATCACCATCGGCCGTGCCAACGGTGTCTTCTCCATCGTCCGTGAATACTTCATGGACATGACTATCAACCAAACCTCGATGGAATGGGCCATCATCAATTACGATAGCAAGTCGGACGTCTTCTCGGGATCGGGCGACTCCGGCTCCATCATCGCCGACCTCCATGGCCGTATCGGGGGGTTACTCACGGGTGGTTCTGGCAAGACCAAGTCCTCCGACATTACTTATGCCACGCCGTTCTGGTGGCTCCTCCAGCGCATTAAGGCGAACGGATTCCCTAATGTGCACCTCGATGTCCTCGCCTAGGGATCTTGTCATCGACAACGACCTCGACGTCAAAGATCAGCTCTTTTTCTTCTGCGACTTCTATGCTTTTCTTCTAGTGCACCGGGAATTTGGAATTTGTCCAGATCCACCCAGCTAATTCACTCTCCACCACTCGTAGCCTTAAATTCACCAGGGTGGAATAGCGTGAATTTCAGTCTTACTCCCAGCTCTCCCGGTCTTCGTCCACTGGAACTGCCTTAAGTGCAACTGCGGGTCCAGCAGCACCTATCTTCGGCTAGTTAGATGTGTCTTTGGGTGTTGAGAAGATATTTGTGTCACTGAGAATATTGTGTGAAGGGTTCGCAAGTTGATGTCGATGTCAGAACAACCACCCAGCGCGAAAATCTGACGCTCAGCACCAACCATGTCTGGGTCGAGTTGGTATGGCCCATTCAGCCAGGTGATGCCTGTTGGAGTCAACTGTCATGTGCTTGACATGCCTGTACTTATAGAGTTATTTACTTTAGTTTACACCTCAGTTGTTGTGTCTGTGATGCTGAGGTGAGTATGGCAACCCCCTGAGGATGTGTACACTCACTTACATCATGTAGTGTGTCTGATAAGGTATTTGTTAGGAAATTAACAAAGTACTATCTGTACTTACTTTAGCACTGATTGTCAAATAAGCATGGATAGTGCTGGGACTTATATAAGTAGATCCTTTACCCATCTGGGCTTTTATTGCCTTGTTGCTTAAATGACCTTTTTGACTTATTTGCATTATTCTACTATCCATGCTATCCACTGCACATCATTCTTATTACACATACCTACCTTTTTTGTTATTTTAATTGGTGATGCACTTATTGGGTTAGAAACACAATAGGTATTGAGAGCAGAGGAGTACCAAACATTAGATGAATGTAGAAATTGCAGTCACAAGTTGTGGCTGACAGAAGGTGAGAGCAAAGCAGCTATGAAGATGAATTGATGCAGATTAGCCAGAGGTGATAATGAGTGGTGGAAAGGAGAGGCAGATGCAAAAAAAAAGAGCAGCAGAGAGCAATGAAGATCCTTCAATCAACCATTGTAGGGAAGGTGACTGAAGATTGTAAAGAGTGACACCATATACATCAGTAAACCACTTTGTGTGCTGGCAGTCCTAGGGAATCTGTCCAGTGCTTGACAGCTCTGGACAGCAAAACTGATTTACTGTGGTGGGGGGAGAGGGCACATGTGAAAAAAAAAATACTGTGGATTGTCAGAGACCTCTAAACCCCCCTTCCAATGCTGCCAAATTGGGACATATTTAGACTCATTCCAACCAAATTAACCACAGATTCCAAGTTCATCTACATAATTGATACCCCTATAGGGTGGGTGCCTAGTACCCTTGAGACTGAATTGAGGCAAATTTTGACTGTCTTCTGGCCCATTCCAAGTCAATTGCCAGATTTTTGGGTAGTGTTGGAATTGAATCACAAGCTGGCAGGAAATTGAGGACTTGCAATTGCTTACAAGGCATGGGAACTTGAAATTACTTTTTCCAACAATGCATGACAAGGATTTTGTCAAACTAAGTCAGTAAATCATGTAGAGATAAGGTATTTGTCCTACAAATGTTCATGCACTGACCAACAGACATGCCAAGGTCTTCCACCACTGAATCACCTTGGAAACTACCATCATCCAACAGGGAATCTGTGGCTGGAAGGACAAGGGCATTTGCCATGGAGATGATTTCTGTCAGTGCCAAATGATTGTGTTTAGCAACTGATAATAGTGCCTGATACACATTCCCCAGTTTTTCTCCAAGATTGCTAGAGCAGCTGATGATTCCTTCCCAGATGTCCTGTTGAGTTTTGGGGGAGTCTTCATAGTGGCCTTTCCCTGGCTACTGATCTGGTTGTTGATGTCCACATCACCCCTTTGCAATAGTTGAATGGCATGCTTGAGCTAAAAACCCTTCTTACGAAGCAATCTGATGGGCAAAATATGCTACTCACTGCAGCACAAGAAAGGGAAAGGGCCCCTTGGATACCAAACACTTTCAAGGTATCCATTCCAAGTGCAGGGATATCAGGGCATCTGATGCACAATCACAAATGGGTGTGGGCAAGGAGCTGCAGTACAAACTGTGAGCAGAAAGCATTTGCTGGCTTCTGATGATTGAGGTCTTGATATAAGAATGAAAACCTCTCCAGGAGGTCATTGTACATCTCCTGAATCACAGGCAAGTCCATAGACTCAGCATCTGCATCATTACTAGGACTGCCACAAGGGAATGAGCTATGATTGTGGTAGCAGTGGAGCTGAAGTTGCTGCACCACACCATAAGCTGATGAGTTGCCTGTCCAAGAAAATGTAGGTTAGACATTTGATTAACTATGAAGGAATTATTATTAGTACAAGGGAAAACATAGGCATTCCAGGTCATATTGTACTGAGGTCCAGGAAATCTGTGTCAAAGATAGTGGTAATGATTTGAATAGCACACATCAAGTCTTGGTCAGGGATTAGCCATGGATCCACTGGGCTTCCAGCCCACATCACAAGAACAGGAAGTATCTGCTTGGTCCATTTTCTATCTGCTTGCAGTGCAGCAGGCAAGACTAGGTTGATGTAATGTATGTGCCTGGTGCCACTGGTTCCACTTGATGAGACTTGACTGGGAATTCTAGGCTCTGCTGAGGATGATGGTCCCACAGTATTTGCTCTTTGCTTGCTATTGTTACTAGTCTTCACTTTCTTTGCCAGCTGGTCAATTACAATATTACTCTGTCACTCCACATAGTTAGCAGGGCACTTGAGTGGGTAGGAGGATGTACCATCACAGTCATGTGGTGATGCTCAGGGGCCTTTGGTGTGCATATATGGATATTGCTATCACAGTGGCCATTATCATCTGCCTTGTCAGCCTCAGATTTCATGACATATTCAGAGCTGTGGTCAGTGTTCTGGCTCAGCAGTCAGGTAATATTGTGCCTCCCAGGATGGAACCTGACCTTCAAGTGCTCAATAATCCTTATATCACCACAATTCAGGGAGCACAAGTTCCCAGTGTTACATCTTGTCTGTCAACACCCCAGCCCAACCACCAGTCTTGGTTTATCCCCCACCAGCCACCTACTACCATCTCTGACTCTCATATCAACCCCTCCCTTGATAGCTCTCTCTCATCAAAGCAAACTTTGGCAACTGCCAACACTCACCACAAGAGTTGGAGAAGCCATCATCAGAGCACTCCTTAGAAGAGGAGTGAGAGTCCTCAAGTAATAACCTATCAGACAAAGAGGCTGGTGAAGTCTCCAGTAATGAGTTTGACAAAGATGAAGACAATGCATTTGGATGGGGTGCAACAAACCTTAGGCAATCAACTCACCCTGGTATGCATTGGGGGTTATTATGGTATCAGCTCAATGTTCTTTGTTATTAGGCTTCTCCCAAGAAATGATGACAAGCAATCCTATTCACCACAATTCTTACCCCCTGACCATGAGTTTCAGTGCTCACACAACAAGGATGACAATGCAGCTTTGCAAAGCTTGCAATCCAAGGACAAGGCTCAGCCAGAGGGATGAAAGGCCATTCCTGCTAGTTTGATTCATTCAGACTGTTATTCTAGGGTTCCCAATGTGGTGGTGTCATCAACATTCTTGAATGCCACCATCACACTAACAGCCACCCTTCTGTTCCTGATCATGATCATCCAACCCTTGCACATGACTTGGTCAATGAAGTATCTCAGCATGCCAGTGCTCCTTGTAACTCCAAGAAAGCTAAGGATGAGGACCCATTTGACATGACCATGACATTGGCATAAGCCCCTACTCTGCCCTCTTCTGACATGTTCCCATGCTTCTCTGCCCTCTTCTGATGTGTTCCCATGCTCCTCTGACCCTCCTGACACATCTCTGCACCTCTCCAAGGTCCCCTGTCTACATTCTGACTGCCTCTGCTCACCTGTGCCTCCTCTGAGGCCTTGGTTGGCTCAGCAGAATGTCAGACTTACAACCCTGCATTCTAGATAGGGTTCTGCCCTTGTGTCAGTTTTTCTCCATTCTTCCACTCCTTTGGTATTTACCCTCTCTCCCTTGTTGTAGTAGTTCCCTCGTCTCAGTTCAGGTCTCCATCATCCCTATTGTCTCTCCCTTGTGGTTGAAGGTACTGCTAACCTCTTATATGTTTATTGGTTTGCATTCTACACTGCACCACCCTTGACCTACATTGTATATAAGGCCACATAGTACTCCAATGTAATCAGTACAAATATCAACAATAGAGTCCCCACTTCCAACTCCCTCTGAGTTCCCTCCAGAGTTTCATCTCCACTCCTCTGAGTCCACTCTCCCTCTGAAATACAAGGGCTGAGCTCACAAGGGGGCAGTGCACTAGCTGAACCCAATGCCCTCCCATCTGACCTCTGACCTCTGACTCCAACCCCTATCTCTGAAACTTCCCTCCATACTCCTCCACTCCTTGTTCATTGCATATCTTGCCACCCAGTGGTTGGATTTGCTTCACACTTTGACTGCTGTACTCTGCAGTGCAACCCACTCCTACTCCACCCTAAGAGGAAGTCAGGGGTGTTGTGTGATTTTGACACCATTGCCCTCACAACTGAGATTTTACAAGGTAGTACAGAAGAACTGTCTTGAAGATGCTAAGTGTCATAACCATGTCTTGACCCCAGCTGGACTTGGCCTCATGTCTACTCATCCCAGTCTAACCTCTAGTTGGTTTAGCATGGATGGCACTACAAAGCAGTGTGCATTTGAGGCACTAACTCAGTAGAGCCTGCCCTAGCCTCATCCCTGACCTGCTCTCTTCCCTGTCCCAGTCCCCCAGTCTTTGTCATGTTCACCAGTACAGCCTGCTATTCAGTTGTGTTACCAATCCTTACAAGACCAGCATTACTGGTCTCTGTACTATACTTCATTGTCATTATATAAACTTGTATCTACTTAGCCTGTAGTCTCAGTCTGAAATCAACTAAGTCTCACCCTGAAACCCTCCATCTTGGTCTCAATCTCAGACAGCACCCCATGCAAGGGAATAGCATTGCACTCTTAGTTGCTAAGTCCAATCAGTCCACCTCCTGTTCCCTGTTACCCTCTGTACTCTGACCCCCCCTTGGCCTCACACTACTACTGGTCTCTGGTCCAGTCTTGACCCTAGAATCTCAGACTTGACACTAAGCAAGAATGCAGGGCTGCACATGCACTTTCTAGCCCATTCCCATTGAAATCCCATGACCTCAACCTCTCCATAACAGAGGTGCTCATCACTGTCATTGTTGAGTGGAATCACCACAGTGTGGAACACAGCTTCTGGGAAGCATTGTGAGGAAATATAAAAGTATGGATTGAGGATGGGGTAGGATCTGAGAGGGAGTGAGTAAGACCAAAGGGGCTCCTATAGCCTGAGCAAAGTAAAGATGGGGGTGGAAGACTGTCTGGGGCAGTCTGGGGCAGTCTTAAACTTGTTCTCATCTTTGGGGGTAACTTGTCTATTGTTTTTAAAAAAACTAAGTACATCAAGTACTAGGTAGGGCTGACTAAGCAACCCAAAAGTGAAAATCTAAGTACCACTAACAGAAAAACACCTAAAATGAAAACAAAATAAAATGGACAAAATAAAACAAATGCTCTAGTAGAGAAATTACATTCCCTACAGTGTGCAACTAGAGGAAGGCTGTAGAGAGAATTCCCTAGGAATGTCCCAAGGGGTGCTGGGTGGAAGGAGAAGTTGAGAATAAAACTAGAAAGGGAGAGGTATTCATGTGAGGGTCACAGAATTTAATTCTGGAGGGATGTGGATGCATGAGGAACAGTGAGGTGGGTATACAAAATTCCAGGAAGCAGTTATGTGATGAGGAGAGTGCATTTGAGGTGAGAGGGAAATGGGATAAGGTGCATAGGATTGGAGGACACAGGAGGCATGAAGACCACTGGAGATACTGTAGATGCTGTAGACTCAATATATGCACTTAGACTCTAGGAACTCTTAAACTTGTGAAACACACACAGATAGTGACTCCAAAAGTGGGTGTCTATTTCTGACATTACAGTGGAATTATAGTACAAGGGACATAGGTACGAGTTGGAGTAAAGTGGGGTGGAAAAACTAAAAGACTGGAAAATAAAGGAAAGGATGACAGACATCAGTGAAATACAGATGCATGTGAAATAGTCCAGCAAGTGGTAGACAAGAGTAAAACAGGACAATGGTAAGGGGTATCTTCCAACAGAGCAAGGGTACATGTACAAGTGAGAGGTGGAGCTGGTGGGAGGGGAAAGTGCAGGAGGGCAGAGCATACTGGCATGAAGTCCAGCTTGCAGAAATTTGGGGCAACAGGGGTAACTGGAGTTTTTTAGAGGCAACTGGCATGGATGAGTGGTGACATGGCTGGGTGGTGGCTCAGCTACTGAATTCCAGATGACTCTGGGTGAATGTGGAATTTCTGGATCAGCTTATTGATGACTGGGCAACATGCTGAAGGTCAGGAGAAACTCCAAAGGTGACAGGGGTTTGGAGGAGACACAAGGTTATGAGTGGGAAGAATTCTGAAGGCTTCTGAAGGCATAGAGTGATAGGGGTTTGTCACAGGGGCCAGCAGAATTTAGTGACAGATTCCTGTTCCAGCCTCAGGGAGTATATGGCTCCCTACAATGGTTACTGGCCTGACCACAAGCAAGATATGGTGTGCCTTGTAAGTAATCCCATCTTTCAGTTACAGCCACTGACATACTACTAGTAGATCCTTGGTGATACATCTACCTGGCATTCAGAAATGAAGTCAGTTACACTGGCAACAATGCCATCCACATTCAATCTTATCCCTCCTTCTGATGTTGCAGCACAGGATCATGTACAATGGCTAGAGACTGCCGCCACAAAGCTCCTTGAGAACTTGCTTTTCTTGTGTGATGGTTTCAACAAGAATGTATGTTTACCTGGTTTGTTATCTGCAATACTAAGACATTGGTCTATCAAAGAAAAACCAGGAATTTTGCTCACCCCACCCTCAAGGAAGCTGTCATACAATTCTACTATACCAGTACCTATCAAATTGTGGATAAGTGTCCTGAGTCCTTCAGCATTTCAGCTCCCCTTCCCTGTCTAGCTCTTGTTGCAGCCATGGTAAGTTATCTTACATCCTGAGTTGCTGCACTCAAACACTTCTCACAGTATCATTGTGTGTTGGACAGATTTACAAAGAACAGCACAGGAAAGGCAATGCCTTAATTCTCCACCAATGCTTACAATTCCATTTTCCATGGCATGATGAAGGTGCTGAACAACATCCTTCATAATCCCTATTATGGTGTGCAATCAGCTTTCTCAGTGGGCAGATGAAGGATGGTAAGTACTGGGGCAGCCATCATACTTGCACTGACTCCTTGCATCAGGGCTGCACTGCAAGAGGTTGAAATGAATGTAGAGAGGTACCAGCACATTCAGGCTGTCCTCGATTGATTTCATAATACCTATCCTGCCATTCCTGTCATTACATGTAGTACACAATTGATGCTACTGCTCCTGTCCCTGTCATACCTGCTGTGGACTGTTGTTACATACATAGTTGTGGAGTGATCACATGTCTGCAAAGTAAACATTGAGATGAGGAGTACTGGACAACACCCCAAGGAAAATAGAGTCTGACCAGTTTTGTACACTGATATCTAAGCATGAAAGTTCTATAGCAATCATAGTAAGTAAGATATAGGATAAAATTCCATGACAATGTGACCATTCTATATAATAGGCAACCAGCCATAGTGTCACATACATGACTCTCAGACTCAAGCACAGTCCAGTCCAGAACCCTAGCCCCTATCTCCAGTCAAGTCCAGACCTACTACAGCCTAAATAACTCAACTACAGCCCTAGGTAACCCAACTCCAACCCAGATAATTCAAGTCTGGAACTTTACCCTTCTCTCTGGTCCACTCCAGCCTCTTGGCCTTGTGCTGCTCTACCCTGGTCCTCCCAGGTCCATGTTCAGGTCACCTGGACATAACTCCAGTCTGTTTTCTGATGTTTGTGCTATATTTAGTTTGGTCCTCTTGCCTGATCTCTGCTTACTGTACAAAACCCGCATCCAACTCCAGTTATGCCAGCCACCTGGACTTTGACTATTAGTCTTGGCACAGCCTCTGTGGCTGCCCACACCTTGCTAATCATCTTCCTAATAGCTTACCAACAAGTCTGGCTCTATGTTCATTACTCCAGACCAGCCTTGTGTATTTAACCCCTGTATGTACTTCATAGCACTCCAGTTAGAATATCAACTAAGTATTACCCTCAACTCTGTACTACTCTTCAAGTCTTCTCAATAGCTAAGGCTGAGCCTCAGTCTATCCCCTGTTTCTGTCCCAGACCTCTCCCTGGCTTGCATAAGGGTACAGCACATAAGCTGAGACCAAGGGAGGTAGATCCAACCCCACACTGGCTTCCCCCTGTGCATGCTCTCAGACCAGTCACTTTTCCATGCTACTGGACTTGTTCCCATGCTCCCAGTATGGGAAACAACTTCTGGGAAGCATGCAGCTAGAGGAAAGCTGAAGGGAAATTTCCCTAGGATCATCCCAAGGGGTGCTCAGTGGAAGGAGAAGTCAAGGATTACTCTAGATGGGATAGGGTATACATGCAAGGATTGCAGAATTTAATTCCAAAGGATTGTTGATGCATGAGAAACAGCAAGTTGGGTATATGGAATTCTGAGAGACAGATATGTGATGAGAAGAGCATAGCTGAGATGAGGGAGACACAAGGAAGGACATAATAGGCTGGAAAATGCAGGGGGCATGGAGAAAACTGAAGACACTGTAGACACTGTAGACTCAATAGATGCTTTTAGACTCTGGGGACTCTTGAACTTGCAAAACACACACAGATAGTGGCTCCAAAAGTGGGTGGTTCTTTTTCTGTCACTACAGTGGAATTATATAGTACATGGGACATAGGTATGAGTTGGAGTAAAGTGGGGTGGAAAAACTAAAAGACCAGAAAATAAAGGAAAGGATGACAGACATCAGCAAAGTACAGATGCATGTGAAATAGACTGGCAAGTGGTAGATGAGAGTAAAAGGAACAACAGCAAGGGGGGTATCTTCCAACAGAATGAGGGTACATGTACAGGTGAGAGGTGGAGTTGGCAGGAAGGCAGAACTGCAGAAGGGAAGAGCCTGCAGGTACAAAGGACAATATGCAGAAATTTGGGGCAACAGGGTGAACTGGAGTTTTTTAGAGACACTGGCATGGATGACTGATGATGTGGATAGGTGGAGGCTCAGTTGTGGAATTCCAGATCAGCTTATTGATGACTCTGGGCAAATGCAAAATTTTTTGGATCAGCTTATTGACAACCAGGGTACATGTTGGAGGTCTGGAGAAACTCCAAAGCAACAAGGGGGTAGGGCAAAACACAAGGCAGCAAGCAGAGAGGATTCTGAAGGCATAGAACAACAGGGGCTTGTTGCAAAGACAGTGGAATTTACTGACAGTTTCCTGTTTCAGCCTCAGGGAGTATACAGCTCCCTACACCAGCCTTTACTCTGGACCTCCAGACTTAGCCCCTGTCACCCAGACTTGAAGCCCAGTCACCCAAGGGTAACCCCATACTTGACATAGCAAAAAGTGTTGTTGGGTACATCTGTCCAGCCTGGACCTAGCTAGGGGACTCTGTGTACTATGGAGCACTGTGGAGAGCTCCACAGCTCAAAGTGATTTAGTGATGTGGATTTAATTTGCCACATTTTAATGACCATTTTGTCACTCACTTATTGTTGGAGATACTTCTCACTTCTTTTGGTGCGATGTCTGGCTGCTTACATAAGCCATTAGAGCGCACATACTGCAGTCATTACACAGTTCCATCAGTAGATTGTTCACTACTGAGGCCACCTACAGCACCCTTTTTCTATACTTATATGCTTTCCCACCTGCTGGATCCTATGCCTGTACTTACCAAAACTGGATGGCAGGCTTACTTTTTACTTAATCCCTACTTTCAGTGTGCTTTTTTGTGACTGAATCCATGGTGTGTGCCAGTGTTTCTACCATTTAAGTCAAAATAAGTGCTTAAGTTGTAAATAAGTGTGATTTCATGAGTAGGACCTATTTAAACAAGTTTTCAGTTACTTTTCTTGTGTTTGTCTTTGAGCTCAATCAAAGTATGTATAAGTCTTGCAAGCTATTCTAAAGTCTAAGTAACTGATCTGATGTTTTCCTGATGCAAGGCTAGGGAGGGTGAGAGACACAGACAAGCATACATCAGGAAATTAACACTTTACTATTTTTGACCTTTTTGTGACTATTTGTGACTTTTTGGGAAGGAACCTACTATCTGTACTTTTTTTTGACCATATACAGCATTTCGAAGAATGAAAAGAGAACAGAATCTATTGAGACAACTAAGTGATGATATATCTAAGCCAAGAAGACTAGAAAATGTCCAAAAATTCAGAGATATTGAGCCATTGGTGTGATGCACACTGTCTGAGAGAAAAATCACAATATCTCTTTGGAACCTCCATCAATTTGAATGTATGTGGTATCTACTGAAAGCTAGGAATTAGGTGGTTTGAACAAGACCAAAATCAGCAAGAAAAGTGCAGCCATGCCTGCAGGACATGGGTAATGATAGTAGATTCCTTCCCAAAAAGTCACATTAGTCACAAAAAGTCAAAAATAGTAAAGTGTTATTTTCCTGATGTAGCAATGTGCATAGATGATGAGGATATCATCATTTTTTTGAAGGAGGTACATGAAGTAGGGAGGCCCATGGACAGGGACAAGGACAAAGCCACTTAGAGGCTTAGTCAGATGGACAGAGCACATAGAGTTAGACACAAGTGTGACATAGACAACTGCAGAGTCTACAGTACAACAGATCCTCAGGACTACCCCAGTGGTACCAGTACTGGACACATTAAGAATAATTACTACACATTGACAGGATGAATCAAACTGGTGTAGTCTCCCCTATGCAAACCAAAGCCTCGATAGAAGACAATTGTTTCCTCCAGCTGGTGTGCATATGAGTGTTAAATAAACATAGGTTCTATCAAGCAATGTCATCTATAGTGGATCCAGATTGAACGCCAGACCTAACCAGCGCCGTAGCCTTCCCTGGCAAAGGTACCACATTCATTAATGATCCGTTCCCAAGGACTGCAGTCGTCAGCTCAGCCCCATTTGTCTGAGCTTCGGCCAAATCTTTAATTATCAAGTTTCGGTGGACTCGACAGGCCATTATGCTTGTCAGTGTTACAGAAAATGCCGAAACCATGACTGCGAACGACGGAGATACGGACGGTAGTAAAGCAAATGCAAGCCGAGTCATGTTAACGCCTGCGGTGACTCTGCGTGGTTTGTAGGTGTGGTGTCCATATTAAACCTGGGGCCACCTACAAATAGTATTGCTGTCCTCCCTGAAATACGGCACGTGAGAAGTCAGGGAGGCCACTCCCACATAAAAGAGCCTTCCAACCCAGCATGCGGTAAGAGGTCAGGATCTTGTACGCAATGGCTAGATAGACCAGGGTGTCGAAGAGAACGGGGCCCATGAAAGCAACAGACACAGGTGTCTGACTTTGGTATCGGATACAGTGTTTAGTGTCGGCAATTTCATGCTGATCGTCCATTGCATCCTGGAATGTTGCGCAAGAAGTGCCTACTCCAACAATCCATAGAAAGCTGAAAAAATGCCGGACAACTTTGTTGCCGAAGTAGACAGCATGAACACGTTTGAGGAACAAGTATGCAGCAGCTGCTGACGACACGACCTGAAACGCCATTAAAAGCATGGCACTAAGCGTACAGTTCGAAACTGGGCCAGCTGCAGATACACAGGATGCATTGATTACCCTAACTTATTGCGAACATCAAACAGAACTCACTTTTCTGCAGTACAGCAATGACGTCCAAGCCAAGCGCAGACAGTCTATGATGATAAGTTAACAGAGTCATAATGAATATTGGGTCAAACGCCTCACCGAGCCAGGAAGTAGGTGAAGAGAATAATCGACACTCTGCCGGTCTGCATCAGCTTGTAATCATCGGGGACACTCGAAAGTATATCCCAGAGCAGCACCTGTCCCGGATGCACATCAAAGAAGCCATAACCATGAGTTTGCGTATGTACGACGTACAGCCAAAGTTGCCAGGTTTAGGTTTCTGCTGAATTCATAAGTACTTGCATCGTCTGGACTTAGGTAGTTCAGATATACGACGGGATTGAGAATTTGAGTGGGTTCGTTGGCCATGACTAACCCCAGCAAGGCCAAAGGGTGGTAATTTGAAGCTGAGGCTGAGAAATGGCAACATAACATTGATCTAGTCTTTAACTGTTGACAGTTCACGTACTGAAGAAAAGCTTACCACACTCCCCATCACAGAATCACTGCGCTATATGACGGTGGTGATGGTATGACTCAGGTACTGATGCAGGCATCGCATTCACGCTATCGAGAGAAAAAATGGCAACAAACAGAAGCCGCTAATCCTTAAGCTGGCGACTCGAAGCACCGTCTGAGGGAGCAGAAAGAAGACCTATAGATGTTAGAATGCCGATTCCTCTTGAACGACCAGTCTAGCTTGGGAATTTCCATCAGAATTTGCTAGCTGCGGATAGCATCTAACCAAAGGATCCGATGATTGACAGAGAGCTGGCCCGAGCGCCAACCACCAGCGGTAAGGCAGTGTGGCAGGTGTGGCAGGTGTGGCAGGTGTGACGTAGACTGGATACGAGATAAGGCGACGGGATTGAATAACCTCACCGCCACTGCGAATTTCTCGGAATAAACGTACATTACTTATTATTACAGTAATTCGCGGTTGTCGCAACTTCGGGTCATCACACATCTCCCTCTAACTCGATCCCATGTCAAGATACAGTTCAAAAATCAGTAATTGAATTGGCTGGAGGTAACGTGGGCCAGGAATTCACAATGGTCTCTGATAACCAAAGCGCCTGCTGATTACACTTAAGTCAATGCCGAAATATATGGAGAAATCTGGTTTGTGCAGGTCTGTTCTTTGTCTCTGCGGTACGGGAATTGTATGCAGGTTCTAATGTGCTCAATGCGCTCTACGTCGCGACTACTTTCAAACTCGCTTCTTCCCATGTCGCTGGTTCAAGGAGGCAAAGTTATGTTGGGGCACTCTCCGAACTCGTGCATGCCACATGTGGGTGTGGTCATGTTTTGGGTTTTTAGAACGGTTACGTGAGAGATAAGCACTCAGAGGTGTGATGTCCGGTAGCCGGCGTACCTATCGCCTGTGGATCAACCCTTGCAGGAGGCCCAGGTGTAGAATTTCGGCGTCCGAGAGCCAGTTATTAGCATTGTCGGCTCTGTTTCCTTCTCTAACATTGCACGAACCCACGTCAGACAAGTGCATACTATCAGGCACTACTCTCCGTATCGCTGTCCTGGTTTACACACAACCTGCTATCGGGGCATCAGGCAACGGCTAGTTGGGTTGATGTCTGGATTGGTTGCTGCAAGGTTCAAAGGATTCATTCGTAGGCAAGAAATCAATCGCGAGCGCCACGTAGTCGTCTGGAAAAGATCTCCATGTTGTCTATGTAGTACATGGCCAATGGTACACCCCCACTTTGTAAGATCCTCCAGTTGCGCTCAGCTTTTCGAGAAGGGTGAAGCACTGACTCGACGTTATACGCAACAGTCACTCGTGGTAATGTATCGTGGTACTGGAGATGCATTCGAGACACGACTGGTAGGAGACTTCCGCACGTCACGGTGATTGACTAAATGACAGAGATGCGGCCGCATAAGTGAAACGTTAGCTAGCTATCAGTTGAAGGCAAGTTGATGCGTACGACTTGAAAAACCGTTGAAAGCACTAGAGTAGGTTTTTGGGAGAAATGAGTTTCCACGACAATATACCTTTGTCATCAACGCTTCGTTAGCTGGGAAAATGCTGTACCCGCTGACAATTTTGTTGCAGGCTCAGAAGGGTCTTGCACGTAGAGGAGGCGAAGCGAGTCTGAGTCCCCGTCCTTATATTTCCCAAGTAAGGCCAGAAAGCGAAGAACAGCGAGATCGGCACCGGACTTGCTGAAATGAAGTCATGAGGAACAAATGAATAGTTGTCTGATGGCGAGGAGCCCTAGAGACATCATGCGAAAGTGAACAAGTTTGAGGGAGGCACTTTCCCATTCACGGCTTGGCCTGCCAGTACACTACGAACGTCACGGACAGTGTTCGAAAATCCAGGAAGGCTCTCTACACTCTCGTCCTGTCGACGAACACATGGAACCGATTGCGAACGTCTTCGAGCTCCGCAAAGACTACGAGAGCCTCGTTGACGAGTGTCTGTCTTGTCCGGTACACAGAGACGGCGACCTGAGCATTGTCAAGGATGGTTTTCGGAATAGCCTGGAGGGTACACCTTTAGGCGCACCGTTGCCTGGATCGCCAAAGAGAAGCTCGTTCATCTAAGGAATGATATCGAGCACATCTGCGGATTTGACGGGATGATCACTTACGACTAAGTCAAACTTAGAGTTCATACCCTCAAACTCTGCTTTGATCTTCACATCAGCTTTGACACTGAGGGAAACTGCCCCCTTGAGCTGATCGGGTTCGAGTCCGAGTTTCCCTTCAATAGCTCTCTTCATTCGTAACCTCCATAGACGATAGAGGGCACGAAATGCGTTGCACGCTTCTCAGAAATGTACTTACCTTTTTACCATGTCGAGGACGCTTGTAACCATCCCCTTCTCGGAAAGTAATAATCGACATTCCTTCGTCCGCACCTTGAGCGCCAGGATCCATGGCCGCGCTTGACTGTTTCTCTTGGCATCGTTTAGGTAGGATGTAGATCCTTCAACCTTGACGATACCGCCACGGGCATCGAGGAAGAAGCTCGCCTGAATGTCAAGGAGACTTGCTTTCTTATCGAGCGAGTTAGAGAGGCACAGCGTGAGGTCAGTCTGTTTGGCGTTCGTAACGACAACTTCGTAGACTTTTCTTCATAGAGTTGGGCGCCAAAGCAAGCGGCCGGTACGTTCGTCGAAGAGCTCATCTAGACAAATGGTATAACCTAGGATAAGTCTCTGGAAGTCCATCGAGGGACCTTCAACTGCCTGAGGTGGTGAACCAGATAACATTGGAATGAATGAGAGGTTCGCTGAGGTGCATGCCCGACGCAGATGGATGGAACTAGTTGCAAAAATTGTCAGATCGCTCGGAACCTATTGTTTCTATCGGAACGGCGGGGTGTCCAATGCCAGGCATCAAGTTATCGTCATCGGAACGCGAAGGTCTAGGGAAGGGCGCGCAAGCCACATTCGTAGAACCTCATCCATTGGCATGCAGTTCATGCCTATGGACACCGAGCACGGTCGTGCAAAAAGGGAAATGAGGCACTGGCCTTGATCACCAAAACTGTTCTCAGCACCATTTAGCACTGCCGAGCACGGATCCTGTAAAAGCCACGTACACCAGTGGTAGTTAGTTACTTGGCCATACCCCCCGAAAGCTCCGTAAGCATTGGGGCACAATGACCATTTGTCGTATCTTTCGTTCAAAACGTTGAGTAACACCAGGCGCACCTTTATGTCAATATTGATCAAGCAAAGATTTCGGCTCTAATTTCCACTTTTGCGTCTGATGACCGCAACATACTTCCGTGTCGTCAGTTGTAGATGAATTTCCTTCACTGAATTTTGCCAGGTCCAAAATGCGTAAATCAGGGTGAAGATGGAGAAAATCCACGCTGGGACGGTTGTGTGTTTACCTCACTGTAAGCATAACCTCACATCGCTTCGCAATGCTAACAAGCATACAGATCGTCCGTGGAGCGATGTGGCACTCGATTCAGTTCGTCCCGAGAAATCCCAGTCCATGGTAGTAACTAATGAACCATACCCAGAAACAGGTATCGACTATCTACCAGAAATGGACCGGGAACCATTATCGTCGTGCCTTCGTTGGGTCAGAGGGAGAAGTTGAAGGTCATGCGGGGCCTTTGTACGATATCCATACGTGGCTCGAACATCCTGTGAATCATCGGCATTAACGATTGTCGCTACAATCGAGCGCCATTACATATCCGCCGAAATTACAGAGAGCACTGTGGATGTTGATTGCGTGAATATTCTGAGAACATGACAGTAACTTCTGTACTTGATCGTTCCGCGAGCCGTCTACCGGTAGAATTATCGTGCGTTAATCGGATTCAAAGCATTTCTCCCAGTCCCCGTTTCCATTTCCTCTTGCGTACGCCTGACTTTCCACAAAATCTTCGAGAGCACATACCCCATCCTCTCCAGCCTCACAAAACGTCAACGGTTGCACCGCATCATTGACGAGGATCCTGACATACTCCCTCTTCTCAACGCCTCTGCCGTCACACATCAACTTCTCGACAATCATCCTAGCTGAGAATGGTGTCATGTTTGAAATCCTCCAGCTTCTCCTCGGATTCATTTCTTCCGCACTCGGTGCTCTCCCATTCCCGTCTTGGAACAAGCCCAATGCACTGTAAATTGCAACCATCTGATTGTCGTGCGAAAAATCTGCATAAAACGTCTTGTTCAGAGGGAATGTGTCAGGTGAAGAGTCCAGTGTAGAATTAGTCTGGGTGTGGTCCTCGACGGGTTTGGAGGTTAGACGTGCGAGGAGTTCATTGACGTAGCCAACGCCTTGGATGGGGCCGAGAGGGTTCCCGGGCCTTTTTTTAGGTAAAATAGTAAGCGATAAGTCATGGAATGAAGATGGGAAAAGTCAAGATACGCACCCCGTCTTGTAATATCTTGACAAATCGGTATAATATTCATGTGCTTTGAATTCCTCGAAAGTGAAGAGGTCGCAGAATGGGCTAGTTGTCCTATGGAAAAGTGTCTCGAACGCGCAGAGGGGCATGAGTTCGACGACATCCTCGGCATCAAAGTCTGCACCTGGAGCCGCCTCGTTGAAACGGGCCGCAATGAGAGGGGCAAAGGTGTCGCGCCACGCGTCTGGCACTTCTTTTAGGCTGCTTGCGTTGGGGCACATGGAATCATCCAGTGTGTTGTTCGCCTGGAATGCATGAAAACTAAGGTTCGGAGGATGACAGTTGTTTTTGCACGAGAGATCACTTACGCCATCTACCTCGGGAAGGATCACGGAAGTTTCCGGATGGTATACGTCATCACTGGCATAAGAAATACCTTGCGGATCGCGTGAGAGTTAGGAAAACAATTGAGAGAAAATACGTACCATCGGCCCACACCACGGCAGACTTGACAACGCGGTCGCTGTCCGAAGCCCTTACAAATGGTAAATGCTCACTCGAAAATAGGTGTCGGTATCTGGTGTAGTGTTCTATACCGGACTCGAACATCCTGCAACGGGTTGATCACTCAGAGGGATAAACGACAACAGCGGGCCCAGCGAAATAGTCGTACTGTTGAGTCCCCAAGGATATCACGTCGCTTACGCCAAGATCCCATTCGAAGTAGCGCAGAAAGTCAAAGGACGCGTTCGCGTAAGTACGGACCGCACGTAGTTTCTCGAGGGGTGCTTGAATTCTAGTCGTCTGGCCTCCGGTGGGGTATCTGGCACCATGTCTTTGGAGCTGGATGACGGTTATGGGTACGATGCCGTGTAGGGATAACAATGATAGCGACACACCAGATTGACCTTTTGTAAAGGATGATTATACGTTGAAGCACTCTGAGTGGTCACAGAGACGGAGAGCGCACCTGTGTGATAACACAATTGTCTGGAGGAGACGTGTAACGTGCGGCGGGATAATAGGGTGAGTAAGCAGCCCAGGTGCGCTGAAAAGCTTCCGGAGGCATCGGAGCGACATCTTTGAAGACAAGATGCGGGCTACGACAGGAATGCCAGCGCCCGTACTGGAAGTAACTGACCGATAAGATGACCCCCAGCACTACAAGAGAGGCACACTGCAGAAAGCGCCGTCTAACTCTGTAGCTGTCATAATTCGTCCTATCCAGGACGGATTCATCGATCAAAGGGAGGAAATCGGGTAGCCGACTGTCCTTGACGTGCATTATTGCAATGAGAAGGATGTGGTTGCTGGAAGAGATGCTGGCCGAGCAGTGCTCGGACACGTTCGCTATGCCATAACGATGGAGCCTGGCATCTCGCACGTTGCTGCCAAGTTTAGCAAGACCATTCTCAGAGCGCCTGTCAGGCTGTGCACTGCAGGTTGAACATGTACTGACTGTGGGTCGAGAAGTTCATCGAGTGGTGCACTATACCAGAAGGCCTCTCACGATAGGGCTGGCTGAGGTTGACCAGCTGTTCAGCTGACTGGTTACATAAACACGACTTTGGGGCGATGATGTCACCAAGGATACTCGGGTCTAAACGATTTCAAGCTTAAGCGTTTGATGTGCGCCTGCCTCCATGTCACAAGCGAATACTGTGTTCGTACTATGACCACTTGCATGCCGGACACCTCTGGAGGACTCTTGGTGAGGAGACTGGAGAACATCCTCTGCAAAGCCTGGTTTTAGGGCGTGGTTATCCTTATTCGTCGGTGGGCTGACGTAATCAGCAGTATGACATCCCTTTGCAAGGACGCCGGGTCATTCTTTGCACTGCGACACTCACCATCACACGATGCCTCTTCTCTACAGACCAGACCCACCATCATCTCCACAGCCAGAACCATTGGATTCTGTTCAGCTGACAGATGTCGATGACTCTATAGTTCTTTCAGACTTGCTACGTACCGGCGAAGCATCTCGTCTGAGAAGGAGGGGCGCAATGAGACTCGACCATAATGCCATACACTCTCAGCGTCACGAAAGCGGTCGTACAACGCCTCCAACTATCATAACACCGGCCTCTCCATCTTGGATGGACCCCCGAGATGACGACGATGGCGATGATGATTACACTCAGGCGTGGGAGCAAGCAGACAATACCGTATCGCTCTCTGCGGAAATTAGGCTTACTTCAGGCCCAGATTCCTCTGACCACGTCCTATACTGCGGTGGAGAAGATCCGACGCTGGAGTTGACAGTGGGACGTGGCCCTTATGAACCACCCTCCCCTTTACCTTCTTCTCCCGCTATACGAGCGCCTCGGCGGCGAGACGCTCGTCTCACGAACGGTTGCGGAGCCGTCGTTCATCTTCGCGCTTGGCAGCACGAGCGCACCAGCGTATGGATGGGCAAACACGAAGCTACTTCCGCAGTCATACCCATAGATCCTTGCTATCTTGAGCGCCCCTCGATTGTCAAGCTAACACGCAGTCCCTGCGGGTGCGTCAGGGAACCGGTCGGTTGTGCGATATGGTAAATCATTCACCATTCCGTTATTGATGTGTTCAGGGCTGATATGATCTTCTCCAGCGGGAATCCGCTTGGCACACGACATAAACCATGTGAAGCCGCTTCGTCAGGATTTTTTTCTTCAAATAATGCATCCGCGCCTCCCCTGTGCCCCGAGGGTCCAAGGTACTGGCACGGTGTTCCAGCGAGATCTTCGTCACGCTACTTCTATACGTTCTTCGCCGATTCGGTGACCTCTCATTCTGGTTACCGGGGAAGTTCGTCTAGAGATCGTCATCCCGAAAATTCAATGGCATATGATCTGTTAGAGCTTCTTGTTCCTCCGTCTCCACGGCCTCCGAATGATGGGGACCAGGAGAGTATCGAGTACAACTCATCGCGCTTGCAAGTGGATCCGGATCCCAGCCTCGACCCTGATGGTACCATTATCGCTTCCTCGGAGCCGGACTCTCCCGATAAGTCAAGTTCAGAACTAATCTCACTGCCCGAGCGGTGAATGATTACCCCCGAACTGCGAACACGTACATTGGGACATCTTGCTGCCGCGCCGTGGGACGCTTCGCTTCTTTATTCGCTCTTCTTTTGCATCACCCATGGATTTTACAACAGTATGTAGTATACTTGTCACCCTCCATCTGTTCTCAAGACCCCATCCTTATCCCCTCATTTAGTACTTGGACTGATCTTATGGCTATCTAGATACTAACATCTTGTCATGAGCCACATCCTTGCACTTACGACTGTACTCTTGGCAGTACTATTTTGTAACCTCATTGGACATCTACATCGTCCATTATTATATATGCTACGTTCGCGTTTGCGTAGCTTTAAGTTCATATGTAATGGGGTGCTTGACAATGTGCGCCTGCTTGATTCGACCGCCCGCCCGAGCCGTTCATTAACTTGGTTGCGTATCTTAACTCTTGACTCTTCAGCCACAGTAGTCGCAGTAGCATTTCATCCAAAGCGAAGCTATCATACAAGCCGATCGTCCCTGCGACCCACCTGGTCCGCTACTATCCTGTCGTACTCATATAGTATCTTCAGCGTCCACGGCGCCTTCTAGGACGATTCAAGAGGTTTCATCAACACTAAGCGCCATACCAGTCTTCAACGCATGACCAAAGCCTACTCGGATTCGCTCAGCATTTCGGCATAAATGAAGGTCACGACGACGTGGTCCAGCATGTGACGAAGCGACTCAGAAATCTCGAGGTACGGGGGATGCGACGGCTTTCTAATTCCCAGATTGCGTTTATGATATTTGGCGAGTCGGCCACGCATGTTATCTCGTTTGAGCTACGTCGTAGTCTCATTCATCACACTATTTTCTGCAATACTACGAACTCGGACGCACCCAGCAATTTGTGCGGTATACCTTCCACTTGTATGTTCGATTGTCGGGACCCACAAAAAATCGACTCCTGTCTATTGGTTAAGAAACGTCCATGCTCCCTGGAAGCGATCAAGACAACACACGAAGATAACGCGCGCCTGGTCGTCATCAACTGATCTGCTCGAAACTCTCTCCCCCTGAACCAAATCTTGTCACTACGGAAGAAGCCCCGTTTGATGATGGCAAGTATTATGGGATGACTGGAACGGCCGGAAACGCCGGCCTTGTGGACGGTCGTCTTCCGATTCAAAAAGCCACAGGTGGACACGATATAACGCGTTCGTCCACGCTCGTCAGCCATGGACGTATTCAGATAATAATCAGTGCTGAAGGTGAGCCGCATGGATGCGCTCAGTGCGAACACGTAGACTGTATATATACGGATTCCTTGGCCCGCGCACACCATACACCATTCTTTTGGGGAAGAGACCAACTTTTCTCGGACCAATAGATCGGAAAAGGTTTGTCACAACGGTAGATACGAGACATGTGGGTTTTACTATTCCGCCATGTTACTCGTATATTAGCTTCTTGCGCAGGGATGTCTGTTGGGATTTTCCCGAGTCGTTGGGGTTGGGGTACCTGTGTGGGTAAGTCGTCACTATCCGTCTCATGTTACTTATAACAGCCGTTCTGGGTTTTGTTTCATTGGCAGCGATGTCAGCGACCATAGTCTTTGGTTTCTTTACGTTATCCGGCGGTCAGCGTGTCCAGACTACGAAACCGGATGGATCGTCGAAGACTTATCATTGTTTGTACGACACTGCGATACAGTGTCCTTCGGGGGCGATCTTCCCTGCTTAGCTTCGCATTTACAGTCCATCCAACGACACCCCACTTGCGGATGATACTATTGCGTTTGTACTTGCAAGGGCATATATTCCTCCATCAATTCCAAAGGACGCCATCTTACTGGAAGCATCGAATGTGGTCTCCGTCCCGGGTGATCCATCCAGTGAGGAGTATGAGTCGAGGGTTCCGGATAGCCCTTGGCCATATGTTTTTGGTCTGGGAACTGTATCCTCTCGCGCGGTAACTCTCCCAGATGGTGTCTCGAAGGCTTTTTTAGTGGGTCATCTGATTATGTTCGGGATGCCAATATGACATCCACAGTTGTGTGAGTCTTTTCACGTATTATGACTTGACAACTTCTGAGATTAGTCTGTTGTTTAGTTGTACAATTGATAGTTCTCATCCTCGGTGGAGAAGGATGCCCATTCCCAACCAGAACTCGATGGTCCTTTATTCAGGCCACTTCAGTGGCGCGGCAGCTGGGGGTAGGATCACCGTGGGGTTGAAGAATATCACCCTCTATGTTGGCGGCCGGAATAATGGTACAAACATGACTGCAGCTTCAGGATCGAAGAAGCGCAAGTTCATGTCAACGTTATCTCAAGAGTACGCTTCATCATTTCTTAATGTTGTTAGTCTGAACGGAAATAGCGGAGAAACCACTGGAATTGTCCCCCCGGAGAAGTTGTCACCCGCAATTGGGTGCGTTTGTTTCTATCACTGCTCTTTTTTTTAATACATTTTTTCTCAGCGAAGCGGCCGAGATACCTACCTCGGGCAGTTCGACTGCATCTGAACACCCCCGAATCCTGCTCCATCCTGGAGTTAAAGTGACCACTAACATCACGTGGGAAGAGTTCCTGCTTTGATAGCATAGCTACTTAAGACTAAACGAATTTGTACAGACAATTCACAGACTATTCTTAGCTCTTAGCTTCTAGCGCTACATATACATCTCTACCGCTAGAGCGAAGCGAAGCGAGGTGTCTCTCGTACATACTGATAGCAACGACGTCAACATTGAATCACGGGAAAACCCCAACGACTGTCCGGGTTGGCGATAACGATGAGAGGGCCACCCAAGGACCGACTCAGCGCTCCGCTTCTAATTATGATAATCGGGGGAACTGCCTTTGTGCGTCGATGCGACTGACTACCGAATGATAGAATCAGCCAAGTTTCCTAGCTTCTCGCACATTAGTACTGGGACTACAACTCTAGCGTAACTGACATCATCGCTACATATTGTGGAATTCCATTGAAATCCACTCTGCCTGCAATATCACTATATGTACGTATCATGCCTTCGTGGATAGCATCCCTATCCCCGCGGAACGCATACGTAGGCGACTTGGTATATTTTCAATCATACAGTTAACAATAGCAAGGCACCTATGTACTTTACTTCCGATGGGCCTCGAAGGAAAGCGGGGATGTGCCCGCTGATGCACCCGAGCAAATGAAGTCTACAAAAACTTTTACTGCTTCTGCGTGCTCACATGTACGAAATCGTCTCACACTATGTACATTCACACAGGCCCGAAGGCGAAATCATTACTTGCACCTACATCGATCGATCGAGCTTTTCCGCCTAAATGAAAGTTACGACGATGTGGTCCAGCATGTAATGAAATGACTCGGAAATCTCGAGGTATGGGGGATACGACGGCTTCCTAATAATTGTTTCGGCTACTGTCGTTCGTCGTACGATCGCTCCGATGCTACAAAGCTCAGACGCACTCAGGGGTTTCTGTAGCTGCGAATTTTCCACTTGTACGTTTGATTGTCAGGACCTCCTCCTGTCCATCGGTTAGTGGCACGTCCTCCTCTGGGGATCAAGATAGCACACGAGGACAATTTCCGAGGCATCAACCAAGCAGCTCTGATCGCTCTCCCCCCGAACCAATTCTTGTCACCACCAAAGCCGCCCCATTGGAAGATGGTAGGTGTCGTGAGATCATTGGGGTCACCTAAGTATTGACCTTGCGGATGGTCGTCTGTGGGTTTAAAAAGCTACTGGTGGACAGGGTGTAGAGCGTTCGTCCGTTCGTCCGTGCTCGTCAAACATGGACTATTTCAGGTAATAATCAGCGCCAAAGGTGAGTTGTATAGTTGCCTGCCAAGACGTGAGTACATGCATCGCTGAAACTAACCTCTGTGGCGTATCACGCCGTTCTCATAACACTCCTACATAAGTCACTTCCTTTTGCTGCATTTATCAGTCACGATCTTCCTCTGAAAGAATCACTCCTCATATTTCTTTCGCGCCTGGTGACTCAATGGCAGCTGCTGGTCGATTTCTCGAACCGCAGTATGTGTTCTGAGTGATGACTTGTGATGACACATATATATCCCTGCAAGTAATGGCAACGTCACTCCTTTCGTTCCCCTGAGTACTTGTCAGTGTCAACACTGGACGACATCAGGTCCGACCTTGAAGATGCATTTCCCCACGAACCTTTTATTGTATTATACGCGTCGGCACCTGGAGAGCACGTGAAGAAGGCCCATAACAAGCGCCGAGCTTGTCTATCCGCGGGCTATGCCCGTGTGTACACCGCCTAGTAGTTTGTTCCTTACCGGAGCTATGCATTGATGAATAAGGGCGGGGTTAGTGGACAATAAAAGGCCTTGTGGGTCCCTGCGCATTCGGTACGTACATACTCAAGCACTCACCTTTCACCAACACCACCCTTCCCACATCATCCGCTATATATGGCTCACACGCAGGACGGTCTTGTGCTTGAAAACGGAGCAAATAATGGGGCTCAAAGAGAAACAGCAGAAGAGGTACGGTCACGAGCTCAGTTTTCAACTATGTACTCGGTGGTCCTGACTTTCAAGTGTTCAGATCGCTTTGGAAGAGGAGAAGCTGAGAAAGGACTCGGAAAAAGACGTCCGTCGGCAACTTGAGCAACAACACGTCGCTGAGTCAGAGGAGAAAGCTGTCGAAGTAAGCCGCGACGCTCCATGATGGCGTGATCAAGTTGAAGTCCCTGGACGTTTTCCTGACGTCAATGATTTTACAGGGCATCAAAGAGATGGCCGAAAAATTGTTGTCGAACAAGGGAGAGGCAATTGAGGCGAAGCTTGCACCAGTGCTTGGTGCAGCGGAACATGTGAGTACTAGCGCGGTGCTCCGCCGACTACTATTATTCTCGTGCCGAAGCGTGGCTGTGCAAATACAAAACACTAGTCCGGCTTATTGTTTACTCATTGCACATTTTTCAGATCACCGAGGGCGCCATAAATAATGGTGCTGCGGACGTTGAGGACTTACAGGAAGATTTACAGGAGCTCAAACAACGCATAGGTTCTGGTCATCATAGAGGGGGTCAGTGATGTTTTTTTACCGGTTTGCATCTCGAGAAACTGAACGAAGTTGATGATCTTTTTTGCAGCCCTGGCAAATTGCCGAGATTGTCATTGTACGAAGGCTTGAGAGGTAGGCGGATAGCCCTAGACTCGATGATACCGCGAGTGACCGTGTACGGTCGATACTGTACACAACTGGACCTGGACTTGCTTGTAATCGTGAAACTGATTTCTTTGATCGAAACGTGACACTGCGTTCTCAGAGATACTTATATCATATCCAGCCGCCGAAGCACAAATACCAGGACTCGCCGTCTAATATTCAAGAATATTTCTCTCTGTCCTGACTGACCTGTCATAGTTCTACCGACAAGTTTATCCCAGTTTCGGGACATCTCTCCCCAATGCGTGGTGTCAGCGACCTACGAGTCCGGAAAGACTTGGGAGTGCCCTAGACTGAATGGCCAGGTGCGTTCTCGAATGAGAGAGGATTAAGTATATAGTACGTGGATGCGCATATGACGAGAAATCAGTGACAATTAGTGAGCACAACTAAGTCGCTGATCAACATACCTTGCTTCCACAGCGACTACCTATGACCACTGTCACTCCGCTGAACATGCACCGACCGCCAAATTCCGGCGTCGAGCAAGTATCTAAGTACACGCCAACACGAGAGCACCCATTTCCAACTAACATATATGTATATGTATATATATATATAAAATACACGCGTATCTAGTAATGATTCAACGATTCTCATACATGACATATGCGGCACATACATACATCCCCTTTCAATTAACTTCGAGATCTAACAAAGAAAAAAAAAAAATACAGCAGCAGCGCAGCAACAATTCTCAGATAAAATCCCACCACTCGGGATAAGGTGTGTAAAAAAAGGAGGACAACCCATTCTAGACGTTACCGTGCGGCATGTGGGGGGAGGAACGAATGACGAAGCGGAGCCCCATATGCATGTGGGATGCCAACGGGTAAAGCGGACGGGCGTACCTCACCTCATGGTACCCTAGACCCGGCTGCACCACCACCACCACCACCTCTCGTTGGCAAAGACGATGACGAAAACATTAGCTCGCTGCTCAGCGGTGCAAGGCCCAATTTGGGATTGGGAGGAGGCTCCGATGGGCCTGTCGTCGGTCCATTTCCGACGCCAGGACCAGGATGCCATAGAAGACGTTAACGGGGAGGTCAATGAACCCGTCTGGAAAGATGAGAGGTCTGGTTTGGAGTCAAATACACCTGTCATAATATATTTTAGGAAACCGATGAGAGGGGAGGAAGAAGAAGAAAAAAACAACTCACCCAACTTACGCAACCATCTCTGCCTTACTTGATGATACCCTCTCGACGGTAACGCTTTCTGCACCAGATCCCATTTCTGTCCGTACTTGGCAACAGCCTGCGTTAACAATTCGTCCTCTTCCTTGCTCCATTTCATGTATGGACTGCGCTGTCGTTTGGAGGTGGCAGCGGTAGTGTCTTGGTTGGCTACACGAGCGACTGTCTTGTTACGTGCTGTTTGGATCGGTGTACCGGTTGTCGTTGTTTGAGTCGATGGTGTACCATCCCTTGTCTGGCTCAAAGCACGGGCACCGCTCGCAGGCTGAGTGGAAGGATCGGTTGCAGGTTGACTCTGGGTCGATGTATCGCCACCCTCTGTGTGTATCAAAGATCCACTTGAAGTACCACCCAGCACCGAGACTGGTGGCACCAGCCCAGTCACCGACGGATGCGGTCCCAGCTCTCCGATCGCTGACTCTCACGTTGTCTTGTGTACATGTCCAGCGGTGAACTCTCGCGACTCGATGCCGACGTCGAAGGTGTTGCAGCGGATGAAGGAGGTATATGCGTATGTAGGGAAGGGAGCGGAATAGATGATAGCATGTGTGACTGCGTCTGTGACAGGGTTTGCGAGGTCAATGCGATTGGTGATGGTACGGGTCTCGGAATGGGTGCTGCCGGCGAAGTACGGTTCGTTGAAGTTGTAGCAGAATATACTTCTGCCTGTTCACCTCGAACCAGTGGAGAAGGGTTAGGTTTAGGTTTGGGTGTCGTCGCGTCTTCTCCACCCCCAGGATCCCCAGGTACATCCGTCCTCGATCCATCCGTTATGGCCCTCGACCCGTCTTGCGATGCTCCCTTTGATACCTCCGCTGAGACATCTCCTATCGACCCATTATCCTTCATGCCACCACGCGGCCCGGGAGTTTCCTCCCTCACCGACTCGGGCGTCCGAGATCGAGTCGGGGGCGGTTTCTCCGTCTCACTGCCCCGTTTTCGACTCTTTGCCTTGCCACTTCTCGTCCCTCCGCTGTCTTTCTCTGAGCTGGTGGATTCGCTTCCCGTGTGCTCCTCCGACTCCGATTCGTCGCCTCTCACTTTCTCCCGCTCTTTACCCTTTTTCTTCCTCGAATTCGAGAAACCCGACACACGGGCCGTCTTATCCTTAGTCTCCCTCTCCTTTCCTTTCCCCTTCCTCGGGTTGGAAGTGTATGTGCCCGTTCCCGTGGTGGTTGTCGTCCGAGAGCCCACCTCCTGCGGGCTAAAAGCGGCAGCTTGATCAGCAAGAACGTCCAGTGCCGATCTCACCCTTCCTGTTGCAGCATTACTGGCACCCGCGGTCGTTGCATTGCTAGCTGGGATAAGGCTACCCATATCTTCCCTCGACGTCAATTTTCTCCGTTTCGGGACAGGACTGTCAGGTACGACCATGTCGTCGTCGTGGAGTACAAGTGCTGATCTGCGCGAGCCAGCCATTTGGAAGGGCTGATCGTCGGTAGAAGTATCGTGTTCTCCATCTCCTCTACCACCTCCACCTCCGGCACTGGTGTCACCGCCCTGCATCATCGACCTCGCAGCGCTCAACAACGAATCAAGAGGGGTGTGGGGGTTTTGAATTCTCGTATCGCGTTGCTGCTGCTGCTGCTGCTTCGACGATGCACCAGACGCACCAGATGGACCCGACGTACCGGACGCAGCAGAGGTGCCGGCTACCCTCGTCCTTGCCGTAGATGAGGAGGTGGGAGTTTGAAAGATGGGATGTGGATACGCAGGGACGAATACTGGGATTGGGTGAGCGGCTGTCCCTCCTGATCCCTTTGATGAACCTGCGGGAGTCGCAGACGGGGCCGTCGTTGTGCTATGCATTTGGGTGGTTGGAGGTCTAAAGGATGGAGTACTGACATATATATATCCTCCTTCAGTGGGCAGCGGGTACCCTGGGAACGCAACACCTGTGCCCGTGTTAGCGGTTACACCGCCACCACCTCCTGCGCTGGCGGTGGCGGCAGAACCTCGTTTCGGCGTTTTGGGTGTCACACCAGCCGCTGTGGAGGCGATAAACTCTTCCCGTCTTTTCTCCTGTTCTCTTTCCTTCTCGCGTTCTTCCAACTGTTGCAACATACCTGATAAAGCCGTCGCGCGTTCCTTGCCTACTTTGCGCGCTGCAAGGAGGAGATGTTCGACGCGGGCATCTGCGCTGAGACCGCGGGACGCTGATTTGAGAGAAGATCGACGTTTTGTTAGTTGTTGTTGGAGGAATATGCTTGTCGAGGAGTCTTGTCTACGCGACTTGGATTTAGGGGTCGGGGTGGATTGGGAGGGGAGGGAAGGTGTTGGCGTGGTGACGGTGTCTAATCCGCCGGATGGAGGGGCCGTTGCGGTTACGGTGTCGTCGTCGCTTATGTCTAATGCCGTCTCATCTTCAGGGATACTCTGTAGCTGGTCTTTTCTCCGTTTCCGCTGTGGGTGTTTGGGTCGTTGCGGTGTGGCCGTCAAGGAAGAAGGGGGGACGATGATACTGGATTGGAGCGGTTGCATGAGGAGTAGGGGGCGTAGACGGGTCAGTTCAGCTTCGAGAAGTTGTAGTCGAGATTGTGTTTCGGTGAGCTGGTGTGGGGTCAGGGGTCATTTTTCGGATGGGAGGTATTTGGTTTACCTTCTGACGTAGGGTTTTGTTTTCCGATTCGAGTGAAGTATTGAGATGTTCGATGTCCTGTACCAAACGTGAGAATCGAGATGGCACGCACCAGCGGGCATCCCAACTGGGATGTAGGGTGACTTACGTCTTCTCTGTCTGGGTTAGTAGTGCGATGTTTGGATTGTCGGGCTATGAGTGCCTCTGCCATCCTGGTCCATCCGTCACGCTCCGCTGCCCACCTGAGTCTCTGTTCCTCTGCCTGATGGAGTAGCAGGTCCCGGTGGAATGTGAGTGAGACGATCGTATCTGCTTGTCGAGTGAGCTGGTCTGTGTCTGGGATGGGCGTGTCTGTTAATCGGAGGACCTGCGAGAGGTATGTTGAGGTGAAATGATGTGATATTGCATGACGGAGGGCGGCATGAACGCACCATGTCTGTCAGCTGTTTCTCTCTGGGTGTCAGCTGCGAGTGTTGGTCGTCATGTAGCATATCTGTGACCGTGGTCCGGATGTTAGATCTGTCAGAGTCGTGGATGGGCTGTGGGGACGCCGAGTCGGCGTGGGTGGGTGCCCTCATATGTGTGTTCTCTGGCAGCGAGTGTGGCGCCGGCGACGCGAGGATGTCGTCCAACCCCGGCGGAGAGTCGGCCCGGCTCATCTCACCGGTTCCACCGAGTTGCTCGTCGCTGTCCTCGTCGTTGTCGATGACCCTCTGTCCCAGGAAATCAAAAACCCAAAAACAGTCGCCGTCAGCCCCCAAAGCAAACAACGCCAACGCGTGACTTTGGTCACGTGATATGGACTTGTCAATGGGAGTCACGTGGTCCCCGTTTGTATTCTCGTCACCCTGGCATGCGTCGGCTGTCGGTGTCTCTGCTCACGGCGGGGGTGTTGTCTGCGTGTGTGGCATATCTGCTGATTAGCTTTCCATATCCACCCACCCCGCCCGCAGTGCATGCATCGCTGTCGACCGTGCCACAGGCCTGGGCTGTCTACTCGGAGGACTTCTATCCGGGCGGGGATTATGCCACCCTTCCTCATGGCAAGGGTACTACGCCCCATTCACTGCGGTGATCTCACACACTGACACTTGGCATGGTGCAGGTGCGATATTGGTTGATGGGTCCAGAAGATGGCGATAAGGTGGTCCTCATACACGGACTCTCCATTCCAGCTATCATATGGAAGAACTGTCGCTCCTGTCCTGGCATCACACGGCTATCGTGTTCTTCTCTATGGTAAGTGCTAGAAATTCTCGTCGAGTACGTTCTCAACTCCCCTCAGATTTATACGGAAGAGGATACTCCGACGCGCCACAAGTCACCTACGACGTATCCCTATACACGACCCAGCTCGCTCTGTTAATGCAACATGTCCACTGGGACAACGCCCACATAGTCGGACTCTCGATGGTAACCTTCATTCCACATACGTGCCAATACGACTCATGGACTTGTCCAGGGAGGCGGCATCGCAGCTGCATTTGCCACTCAATTCCCTCAGTTGGTGAACGGGAAGGTTTCTCTGATAGCTTCGGCGGGCATCATCGAGGTCACTCACGTCCTCTTTTTCCCAAACGTCATATCTGATGGATTACAACAGTCGAACGATATTTCTAGAACGGCTAAAATCATGTCATCACCGCTCACACAGATCTTCTCATCTCTCCCACCTTTTCAGGTAAGCCAGTGCCCGGCGTATCATGACTGCTGATGCTGATAAATCAACAGTATTACATGCGTCGTCTTGCCAACTCGTCCAGCTTATCGCAGACAAACATTGATCCCATCCAAGAGGTATGTGTGTATGCATCCATTTGCCCACGTCAGCCCCTGACTTGTGCCATGCCAAGATTGTCAGGTTGCAGTCCGCTCATCTTCCATACTACAATGCCGCCGTTGCATCTAGCCTACGTGATGGCCCAGTGCGAGGACTTGAAAGCTCATTTGCAGCGCTTTCCAATTCATCTATACAAGTTGTTCTCATTCATGTACGTAACCCTTCTCTCGTCATGTGAAAACTTGCGATCCTTTCGCACAGGGTACAGCTGACAAAACCGTTCCATACAAATACACCTGCAAGATCCTCGCACTCGTTCCACATGCATATCTCCACACCGTCGATGGCGCCGGACACGACATCACTGTTACCCATGGGAAGCTGGTCGCAAAGATCTTGTCAACGAGGAGGACCACATTCATACCCTCAGGCACATGTTACAACCAAAATAACGGCGACCAGCATGTACTTGTGTAAGTTGCCATTGTCTCGACACAACGGATGGATACCTGTACCACCCACCCGTCAAGCTAACCTCATATGCTTGCCTTTAATCTCGCGCTTATTTGCAAGGATAATTTGTATTGCAACCCGTGTTTCCCCCTTTCTCTCCGTTTTATCGTATCCATATCCGTCGTGCTCTTCCATCTCTATGCAGCCTATCTACCCATCCTTCCTTTTGTATTCGTTCGTGTATTGGATAGATTCGCTTCCATTCAAAACACTGAATAGAATCTGAACTACTTTCCATGTTTCTGCTGATCTCAACTCATGTAATTGCACGTTGTCCACTTACACGTTACTCGGTGCTGGAAACATCTCATGAGACACCAAAACATGTCATGCATACCTCGGAACAGCTGCGATGAATAACAGCTGACGCATAGTGTATTTGTCTCTGACTTGGTTAGGTTCCACTACTTCTGTGCTCTGCTGACGCCTCGAAGTACACACTCACAGTGGATGGCCAGCACTGTAAATCGCAACATCCCATCGGCCCCACCCAAAACATAAGGTCGTGACAGAGCAAGCATGTAACAGCATAGTACTAATACCTACATGAAGCAAATAATCAGACTGTTTATGGGCATTCGGATTTCGGACCGTGGACCCTCATAACAAAAGATGAGAACAGACCAGTGACTGCTCCGCGTCGTGGAAAATACGATTATCTTTTGTACTTCTCCTCTCTTTATCGGGGGTATGACCAAATGAGTGACAGGTACGAAATTAGCGAATGGGCTGCCTGTTTACGGTCGCACTTGACAAGAACACGTTCGCGGGAAAGCGAGGGCATGGTCCATCGGAAGTCGAGGGAAACAATGGGTTCATCTTGATTCTTTACTCGTTCCCTGTGCACTGTGCATTGCACAGACAGCAGGCGCGACGCACACTAAATCATGCAGCAGTCGACCGTGTCCAAGCTGCGACGTGGATATGGCGCCTAATGTCAACACCTCCCGCCCTCAACCTCGAAACAAATCCGCGAACTTCGAACGCAGTACTCATTTTTTCAATGGCCAAAATGCAGTTAAAGAAACGTCGTCTCTTGGGACTTCTGAAGCCCTCGTACAACTCCACGCCTGGGGCTGCCTTCGTATGTAGTCATCCCTCTCTTGAAACATACACACGTATCGATCGATCTGCCAAAAAACTATGTGGTCACCTGGGCAATCTCAGGCTCGAGCAAGTAATTTACCCTCCACAACTGAAACAGCGGGCCCGCCTTCTCAAAGAATGCTCGCCACAACGAGGCGCTTCTTGTGCCGGTTGAAGAAAGCTGCGTTGACCAACGCCGCAACAGGAACTAGTACAGCTACAGCTGCTGATGGAGCAGCGCGGGATTCGAACAAAGGGTCGGACCTATTGCGACTTCAGCTCAAGAGGTATGTGGTCTTCCATGTTTACCCAACAAGCTCCAACCCAGGAGGCGTGCGTGACCTCGACATGCTATGATGTCTGAACGATTCTGTTGCACAGGCCAAACAGGTAGCCGACAAAGGAGAACCAGAATCCACACTGGGATCGGCTGGCAAAGTTGCCGAAGCTACAGGTCATAGGATTCGACGGCTTGAATCCCATCTTGCCTATTGGCCATGGACGGATGGTTTGTTCATCGAGAGTGAAGACTGCAGCGATAGGTGTCTCAAACCTTTCAAAGTCTTCAATCAAGTCGTGACCACTTGCTCATGTAAGTACTGGAGTTTTTGCATCCATAGAGTGATCTTACGCACGCGCCACGTCCACCCGTACGCCCAGATTGCGCTAGGAATCTTAACTTCTGCTGCTCAAGTATGTTTCTGATTACTATTGGCATCATTCATCTCACAGTCACCCGTAGGTGCTCATCAACCAATCGAGTCTTGACGAGGCAGTGTCTGACCTCTTTGTCACCGTGCGAAGCATCTACGAATTTCTTACGGAGGAAGATAATATATTAAAGAATATCGACAACACACGAGATAATCTCGCGAAGCTCGCACGAGCAATGAGCGACTCTGCGCTGTTCATCAAAGACTATTCCGCAACGAAAAGCTTTTGTATGTCACATCCCCTTCTCGATTCTGAGATCGTGGGACGATGTCTTCCTAGGGAAAAGAACAGGAGAGAACATTTTCTCCGAAACGCGAATCGTCGTCGATGGCCACGTCGAGATCATAATCAAATTGATGCAACAGTATCGCGACCGCGAGGTTCGGGACTTCCAGGTTAACACATGCCGCATATTTGAAGACCTGAATCTCGAAGGCATGGCTTGCGCACGTGGCGCAGGGTTGAACACGACGAAGAAATGTCTCGAAGGCACGAGGAAAGAGACTTTGCAGGAGATCATTGACTGGATTAAGGATCCTGACGTCAGTGCATCTCAGATTTTGTGGCTCCACAGGCAGACCGGAAGAGGAAAATCGGCAATTGCTCATACAGTTGCGGGGTGGATCAGGGATGTAGGAAGACTCGGATCCTGCTTCTATTTTGCTCGCGACCGGCAGGCCGAACACTGCGAAGAGAAAATTCTGACGACAATTGCTCGAGACCCGTCGTTTCGGCGAGCGTTGGCAGACGCCGTGTCACAGGACCACTCGCTCAAGATCACACCGGACGTTGTGCAGCAGTGGCAGAAGCTCATTTTGGAGCCGTTGTCCAAGGTTGATGGGGTGGTAATTGGGAATGTGGTCGCGGTGATCGATGCCTTGGACGAAAGCGGCTCAGACACTTCAAGACAGCGCATCACTGTCGGATATCAAACGTGCCCTGAGTACTGCCGTGCATGTGAAGGTGAGCTCCTTGGACGACGTCCCTTCGAAATTGGCGGAACGTGACATCCAACTATGTTTCCACAGAGCTGTGCTGGCTTCCGCAGATTGGAACCACGGAAGTCCAGAGCATTGCTCAAAAGTCGGATGGTCTATTTGAGTGGGATGTCTATCCTGCAGGTTCATTCAGCTGAATAGGCCTGGTCGGAAGGTCATGGAGCGTTACAAGGAGATTGTGTCCCCTAGTTCCGGAGGTGGGAGCACACTATTGGACGTCATGTACACAACAATCCTGGAGGACACTGCACCGCAGGAGGAGATCATGCTTGTGCGATTCTGCTCCGTGATGCAGCAGGTCATGTTGACATTTGAAACTCAGCAGTTAGACGTACCGAACGAAATGCACGCACATTTCCCCTCTGGGGAGGATCATTTCGACATCGTCATTCTCGAATTCATGGATCCGATGCTGGGTGGCATAGCAGACCGTCTACCCGTGGTCTGGCCACTGCATGCATCATTCTACAACTTCCTCACTGGTCACTCGCAGAGTGGGGTTTATTTCCTTGGTGTATCCACCATGCACAATAGCCTTGCCTATGCCTCATTGCACACTCTTTGCAATGTGCTGAAATTCGACATCTGTGGATTGGAAAGTTCCTACTTGCTCAACTCTGGGATCACTGATTTGCAGGAGAGAATCCACATCAAGATCTCACTCAATCTGTCCTACTCATGTCAATACTGGGCCTACCTTCTGCAGAGCACTGGGTTTGACTTATCACTTGGACAATTTGTCAAAGCCATTATTGGGAGTGAAAAGATACTCTCCTGGCTTGAGGCTCTGAGCCTTCTCAGTGGTCTTGGACATGGTAAAGGTGCTCTTACCTCCACTATAGCATGGCTACAGGTGAGTGAATGATAGTCATACATAATGTAGTCTGATATGACATCCAAGGGATAAGATGGTGTTGATGATACCCTGGCATTAGCAGAGGATGGAGTTGAATTTCTGCAACATTTAGGGTGTGTCCTCTCACACAGCACACCACACCTTTACATTTCTGCACTTCCCTTTACACCTTCAAATACAGTGTTGTCAAGGAAGCTTAAGTCAAAATTCTCACCTTGGCTAGAGTATCCATAGGAGGTTGTGATGAATGGCCAGTTGCTCAGCTTGCATTGCAGGGGCATACTGGTAAGTCACCTCAGTAGGGTTCTCTGCTAATGGCAAGAAGATTGTGTCAGGGGATGTGGATGGGACTGTGTGGGTCTGGGATGTTGAGAGAGGTGTTCAGATTGGAAGTGCTCTTAAGGGGTATACTGATCAAGTTACCTCAGCTGGGTTCTCCTCTGATGGCAAGAGGATCATGTCAGGCTCTTGGGACAAGACTGTGCAGGTCTGGGATGCTGAGAGAGGTATCCAGATTGGCAGCCCTCTGGAGGGGCATACCAATTGAGTTACCTCAGTTGGATTCCCCTTAGATGGCAAGAGGATTGTCTCATGGTCATGTGACAAGACTGTGAGGATCTGGGATGCTGAGAGAGGTGTTCAGATCAGAAGCCCTCTTGAGTTTAATGGATGTATCTTTTCTTATCATCCCAGACCCTCACAGTCTTGTCCAATGGGCCTGACACAATTCTCTTGCCATCAGGGGAGAATGCAACAGAGAGGATTTCACCTGTATGCCCCTTCATATAGTTGCCAATCTGCACACCTCTTTCAGCATCCCAGACCCTCACAGTCTTGTCCCATGAACCTGACACAATTCTCTTGCCATCAGGGGAGAATGCAACTGACCAGACTACATCTGTATGCCCCTCAAAGTGGCTACCAACCTGTACATCTCTTTCCACATCCCAGAGCCTCACTGTCTCATCCCTTGAGCCAGACACAATTCTCTTTCCATCAGGGGAGAATGCAACTGAAATAACACCATCTGTATGCCCCTTGAGTTTGTGGCCAATCTGCACACCTCTCTCTCAACATCCCACATCCTCACAGTCATGTCTCCTGAGCCTGACACAATGCTCTTGCAATCAGGGGAGAATGCAACTGAATAGACTCCACTTTGGTGTCCCTCAAGATGGCTACCAATCTGCACACCTCTTTCAGCATCCCAGACCTTGACATTCTTGTCTAAAGAGCCTGATACAATCCTCCTGCCATCAGGGGAGAATGCAACTGACCTGATTTCATCTGCATACCCCCCAAGATGATTT